GCTTCCTCCTGGGAACAGTTCACAGTCTGATGGGGGAGACGAGCTCTCCCTCTGCCCGAGACTCCCACGGATTGTCACCAAATCGCAGGAGTGTGCTAGCCACACGGAGGCCTCGTGACGCACCTGGCCAAGTCCAGTGGGGGAGGCGATTGTTCACAGCCGATGCTTTAGGCTCCTGAATGGCTCCCGGAATGGGCGATTCCCAGCCCTGAACAGGCTCTCACGTGTGTGTGCAGTGCTGCTCTCTGCGGGCTGATGCCATGGCCCGGAGCACTGTTACGGGGGGGGGGGGGGTGAATGGCTCCTTCTGGGGAGGGTCTGTCCAGGCCTCACCTCTGCTCAGGGTCCCTGGCCGCTCCGTGACAGCAGAGCCTGCCACCAGGCTGGTGCCCAGGCCCCGCTACCAGACCAGCACGCTGTGATCTGAGCCCCCTGCAGGAAGCGGTCTTGGAGGAAAAGCAGGTTCTGTGTTTTTCTGGGGGCCTGGGACGGATCCCGAACAGGCCTCGCCCAGCTTCTACCTGTGACTTGTTCCAACCAGCCCAGGGGGGTGGACGGGGGGGCTCCGAGTGGGCAAGGAGGGTCTGTTGATGCCATATTGTATCCTGTGGCAGCACCGTCCTCTCTCTGATGCTCTGACATGCGTCAGCCCCGGGCGGGGCCCCCCTGCCTCTCCATGCTGATTGGCTTTTTACCTGTCATCTCCTCGCACTCAGCACAGAGGGTGCTCACATGGCGGTGTGGGCAGCCCTGGCATATTCAGGATGACCGCAGCCGAGTCCTCGGGGAGGACTCTGGAAGAGCGGAGAAGGAAGAGAGGAGACAGCCGTGGGTGTCCGCCCACGGGGCCAGGAGCTGCTGGACAAGGAGAATTATCCCTGATTGCTCTCAAGACTGCAGGATCGCAGTGCCCCTAGAAAGAGAGGAAGTGGAAACGGATCCTCTGAGAAGTGCCAGCATCTGTTTCTGCGATTTAACAGCTTCCCGTAACAATGTGCAGCTATTTTAAAAGCAGACGAATGAGTCACTGTATCCAGCGGCCCCGAGCAGGCAGGAAGCATGCGCCCCAGGGCGGCCGGCGTGGGTCCCATAGTCACCCCTTGGCTCCAACCTGGGGCCGGCTGTGGTCCTCTCTGGGTGCCCCGGCCCTCCTGTGTGAAGTGGTTTGTTGTGGGCGAAATGCAGCGTGCTTCTGAATCTGTGCAAACCCTCCCAGCCTTGGTGCACACACCTGGCCCACTAGTGCATCTGTAATAACCCTTTGTGGGGAAATAGGAAACTTCCTGGCTATACGTTTTCCTTCAGTTACCACTTTGGCCAGGTCCCATCAGTTTTGCTTTGTGTTCTTCTTCCTGTCAGTGTCTTCAGTTAGGTTTCTGTCCTTTCCAAGTTTTTTTTTTTAATTCTTTGGCTAATGAGTGTGCTTGCATATGAAAAAGAGAGAGAGAGAGAGAGAGAGAGAATCTGTGTTTCTCAAGAGGTGAGAATGTTTCCGTACCCATTTTTTTGTTTGTTTTTTGGGTCACACCCAGCGATGCACAGGGTTTACTCCTGGCTCTGAGCTCAGGAATTACTCCTGGCAGTGCTCAGGGAACCATATGGGATGCTGGGAATCGAACCTGGGTCAGCCGTGTGCAAGGCAAACGCCCTACCCACTGTGCTATCGCTCCAGCCCCTCTGTGGCCATTATTAAATCCTAACGTACTAAAGTCAAAGAATGTGATTAATTGCGTTTTCCTTAGAGTCAAGTACATATGTGATCAGTTTTTGTGGGCATTTTACAGGCATTCAAGAAGAATCACATTTTAATTCATGTAAATCCAGGTTTTTACATATCAGCAAGTCCAATCAATGTTGCTGCTCAAATACTATATTCACGCATGCACTCCTCAAACCTGCACAGAGAGATGTATGCTTGCACATACAGACACACGTGTAAATATGCCTGCACGCATGTGGACTTTGCGTGTACAAACAGAAATACTCCGAGGAGAAAACATGCCAGGGGCTGCCTCTCATAGTTGTGGTTTTGCTGAATTCACTTTTTCTTTCTTTTATTTTGTTTGGCTTTGGTTTCAGTTTTTTGGTTTTGGGGCCACACCCAGCTGTGCACAGGGCTTACTCTGGGCTCTGCACTCAGGAATAGCTCCTGGTGGGCTCAGTAGGAGGCTGGGGATCGAACCCAGGTTGGCCATGTGCTAGCAAGCACCCTACTGTACTGTTGCTCCAGCCCCTCATAGCCCAACTCTTCTATCACACATCTCTTAATTTTCTTCTCTGGGTTTTGGCGTCACACCTCAGTGTTCAAGGCTTATCCGTGGCTTTGTGCTCAGGGATCACTCCCAGAGGCTAGGGGACCATATGTGGCACTGGGGATCGAACCAGAAGCTGGCACATATGAAGCCGCCATCTCCCCGTGGTACTGTCTCTCTGGCCCAGGTACTGTCTTGCTTTCCACGCAACCTCAGGTGTGCTATCAGCCTGACCTTCATGCTTTGTACCAAGCTCTGGTGCTTTTGTGATTCCTATTAGTTAGAGGCATGGTGTTGGAACCAAAATCTGGAAAAAAACCGAGTGCTCAAGAACAGATGACTAAATAAAGAAACTGGTACGTTTATACAGTGGAATAGTGTGCAGCTGTTAGAAAAGATGAAGTCATGAAGTTTGCATATAAGTGGATCAACATGAAAGTATCATGTTAAGTGAAATGAGTCAGAAAGAGAGGGACAGACATAGAAAGATTGCACTCTTCTATGGAATATAAAGTATCAGAAGGGGAGACCAACACCAAGAATAGTAGAGGTAAGGACCAGGAGGTTTACTCTAAGACTTGAGAGCCCTGATCAAGCTTCTCAACGGTCATGATCCCAGAGACTCAGGAGCAAATCTCAGAACCCAGCAGATTTTGACAGAAATCCCTCCAGATTTAAGTGTTAAAATTTCGGAATTTCAAAATCAAGCGGCCACTACTGCAGCCACGTGGCATCATATGTTATTCATAACCAGCAATAGAACACAAATTGTCTAGTGTTGCCTTTTCAGCAGACCTGAGTGTTGGGGTCACGGTCCTCCCGTTGTTCATCGATTTGCTTGAGCGGGCCCAGTAATGTCTCCATCATGAGACTTGTTGTTACTGTGTTTGGCATATCGAGTACGTCACGGGGAGCTTGCCAGGCTCTGCCGTGCAGGCGAGATACTCTCGGTAGCTTGCCAGGCTCTCTGAGAGGGGCGGAGGAATCGAACTCGGGTCGGCCATATTGGCTACGTGCAAGGCAAACACCCTACCGCTGTGCTATCGCTCCAGCCCGAGTGTTGGAGTAAAATCTCAAATAATAATGGTGAGTCTGGTGTCGAAATATTGAATGTGATCAAAGTAGAGAGAGAGTAATGTGGAAATCATCTGCCCCACTGGTAGGGGGAGGGTATGGGATGGGGGTGTACTGGGGTTTTTGGTGGTGGAGAATGGGCACTGGTGAAGGTACGGGGGTTTCATTGCATGACCGAGACTTAGACCCGAAAGCTTTGTAATTGCTCTCACAGTGATTCAATAAATAAAATTATAAAAAATGAAAAAAAAAGGTAAGGTGGAGTTCATGCACAATTCAATCAGCTAATCAGTGGCTGAATAAATAGCAGTACTCCTACATAAAACAAAAAAAGACATGGGAGCCAGCCTCAAATGCTGGGGGGAAAAGGCAACTCAGATAGAACAGGGAACACCAAGTAAAGGGTGTTTGGAAGACCCGCTCTGGTTGGGAGATGCTAGCCAAATGTAGGCTATAGATCAAACACAATTGCCACTTAGTGCCTCTGTTGCAAACTCCAACACCCAAAAGAGAGAGAGCAAAAGGGAATGCCCTGCCACAGAGGCGGGGTGGGAGGGGGATAGGGTTGGGGTTGTGGGAGGGATACTGGGATCATTGGTGGTGGAAAATGGGCACTGGTGGGGGGATGGGTATTTGATCATTGTATGACTGAAATGTAAGCATGAAAGTTTGTAAGTCTATAACTGTACCTCACAGTGATTCACTAATTTAAAAAAAAGAAAAAAATAGAGGCATGGTGTTGGACGCGGGAGTTGTACGTGTGACAATGTGTTTACAGACAGATCAGCAAAGTAGGCACGGCACTCAGTGAGTAATAACTATAGAGCTGAAATTCATCCCAAAGCCTGTTCTCTGGCTACGGCAACTCGGACTTAAACATGCAAACGGTGACTGCTGACTTAAAGGGACATTGAAGCAACAACGGAAATATCATCGTTTAATGACAAACACCCAGGTGTCCCCTCGCCTGGCAGTTGCTTTCCTGTTGGCGGACCCACAAAAACACATGTTGCTGAAGCAGGTGTGAGCTGGAAAAGGGGAATTCTTGCCAGCTAAAAAGGAAAAGGTGGGGCCGGAACAATAGCACAGCAGGGAGGGCGTTGCCGACCCGGGTTCGATTCCCAGCATCCCATATGGTCCCCTGAGCACCGCCAGGAGTAACTCCTGAGTGCAGAGCCAGGAGTAATCCCTGTGGATCGCCGGGTATGACCCAAAAACCAAAAAAAAAAAAAAAAAAAAAAAATTAGTAATTTAATTTTTTTTTTTTTTTTTTTTTTTTTTTGCTTTTTGAGTCACATCCAGCGATGCACACAGGTTCCTCCTGGCTCTGCGCTCAGGAGTTACTCCTGGCGGTGCTCAGGGGACCATATGGGATGCTGGGAATCGAACCCGGGTTGGCCGCGTGCAAGGCAAACACCCTACCCGCTGTGCTATCACTCCAGCTCCCTAAATAATTTAAAATTTTAAAAATTAAAAAAAAATAATAAAAAGGAAGAGGAAAGAAAGGGGGGGAGGCGATGAAAGAAAAATTTAAGAATGACCTAGTACGTATGTGAAATCTAGCCCCGGCTCATTGTGGCCGCTACCCCAAGGCCAGGCCACAGTCTGTGTGGGAGCCTGGTGTGGCTTGGGGTCCATCCCCACCGCTCACGGCCGTCCTGTCCTCTCCTGCAGGCATCTACCTTCTCGACCTGATCTACATCGACTCCGCGTACCCCGCCTCCGGCAGCATCATGGAGAACGAGCAGCGGTCCAACCAAATGAACAACATCCTACGCATCATCGCCGACCTGCAGGTCTCCTGCAGCTATGGTTAGTGCCCTCGGCTCGCCGGCCAGTGCTCTCGGCTCGCCGGCCAGTGCTCTCAGCCTGCCAGCCCCTTGTCCCCACGAAGCTCCACACCTCAGCCCGTGCTGGGTCTTTCGTGCAGGGTTGATCCCCAGAGCCGGCCAGCTAGCTGTCTCGGCTGTGACGAGGCCGGAGTCCTGGTCCCGCCACGGGCTGTCCCCGCCTGTAACGCAAGGGAGCGTGGCTGAGGACTGAGAGGTCCTGGGCTGTCCATCAAGCAGGGTTTTGTGGGCAGTTCTCTGCAAGCAGGTGCAGCAAGCAGTCCCCCTCGCTGTTGCCCCCTGGCCTCCTCGGGCCCTCCCGGCAGCCGGCAGGTGTAGGGAGAGGGGGTGGGGGTCCCACAGCGGGGCCTGGTCTGCCGCAGGTCACCTATTTCTCTGCAGGGATGCCAGGGAGCCGGTTGATCCTGTGCTGCGGGCCTTGAGCAGGGGTGATGTGGGAACAGCACATGCAGAACCCGGGCCCCGGTGGCCCAGACAGAGGCCTCTGGGCTGGCAGGGGGCACTGGGTGTCGGAGGTGGGGTCCAGGAACAGAGGAGACAGATGCTGGATGGGCGAGGCAGCGGGCACTTTTCACCCAAGATGATGCTGTCATCACACTCGGGGTCCAGCCCTATGTTGGGAGGGGCTGAGGCACATTGGGAGAGGCCAGGGACAGAGGGTAGGAGGGGAGTGGCAGGGGGTTGGGGTCCGAGATGCAGATGCAGAAGCCTCAGGCACCCCTAAGGATGGGGCCCCGCTCTGAGGAAACCCCGGGGAGTGGGGAGGAGAGAGATTCCCGGTACGGGATCACGGAGACAGACAGCGCGGGGGCTGGAGCTTAGGGGGCCTCACACATGCAGGACACAGGCTCCCGCCTGGGCACAGTCACTTTCTCCTCGGCCTGAGCTTTTCGGCTCTGCTGGCCTTCCAGTGCTCACGGAGCACCCCTCTCTCTGCGTTCGCCTCCTGGCATCAGCACCGTGGGGACCCGTGGGCTGGCCAGCGTGAAGCCCTGCCCCGATCTTCATTCTGATGAGTAAAGGGTTTGCAGGGGGGGGTGCTCAGCCCTGCAGCAGCACAGGCCTGCAAGGGTTTGAGGCGAGGGGACTGTCCCTCACTCGCCCACCGAGCCCGGGCAACCCTTCTGCCAGTCCCGGGACGCTGCATCGTCCGTTCTGGCCTCACGGCAGGTTTTAGGGCCCCGAGACACCAAGCTCAGCTCTGTGCGGGATCCTTCACCTCCCAGTGGCCTGCCTTCCCAGTCTAGGAAGCGAGGGGTGGGGGGGGGGGGGGGCTTGGGGCACAGCCCAGCCACCTGGGAGACCCGCAGGAGCCTGGGACCTCCAGGGAGCTAGTGCCGGTCACCCCCACATGTCCCACTTGGGGCCTACCGACGGGGAGACTGACCCCCGCCCCCGCCCCGTTCTGTCCTTTGGCAGACCACCTCACCACCCTGCCCCATGTCCAGAAGTACCTGAAGTCTGTGCGCTACATTGAAGAGCTCCAGAAGTTTGTGGAAGACGACAACTACAAGTAAGCACCCTGCACTCGCCCGTGGGGGAGGAGAGTGTCGCCTCGGACCCCTGGGCCCACAGGCTCCGCCCACACAGGCTTCACCTGGGGCGGGGACCGTAAATGTGTCCCCCTCTTGGCCGGCCAGCCGGACGCAGCTTCCTGGCCCCTGATGCCTGTGGTCCTGTCTCAGCACGACTCTGGCCAGCTCTGGGCGCTGGCCGCGGCCCCATCCCTCAGCCCCTGCTTCCGCAAAGTGCTCAGAGCCCTGCAGCCTCATCTTCCATCCCCTGCACCTGAACTTTGTTCTCGCTCATTTCCTCCCGCTCTGGTGTTCTTAGAGTGTCATCGGGTACCACTCTGGCAGCGGGGGCCATTGCCCTGTGTCTTTGCGCTGCCCTGGGCCAGACTGGCCTCTGAGCCTTAGCACAGCTGAGCTCCTTCGCTTGGTCACCCTTTCAGGTGGCCACTCTGGTTTCTGCCACCTTGTCATGGGGTCATCACCCACCCCTTACCCCCACTGCCCCGCCGTGGGCACCTCCCGCTCCTTCTTTTTAAGGTTCCTCTTAGTGGGCGCTCGGAATACACCATCTGGGACTCCTTAAAGTCCCACCGTCTGGGGGATTTTTCTTCTTTAAATCTTCTTCCATGTGGCTGGAGTGATAACACAACGGATAGGGTGTTTGCCTTGCATGCGGCTGACCCGGGTTCGATTCCCAGCATCCCATATGGTCCCCCAAGCACCACCAGGAGTAATTTCTGAGTGAAGAGCCAGGAGTAACTCCTGTGCATTCCTGGGTATGACCCCCCCCAAAAAAAAAATCAAAAATAAATAAATAAGTCGTCTTCCAATTTGGTCCCTGCACATTTGAGCAGCTCCATTCCTTGGTCTTGGTCACTGACATCCCTGAAAAGTTAAGGAATGTGGCTGCAGAGAGACCCACCTCTTCGAAACCCTCCTCTAACCAGGACCCCGGGAAGTCGGCTGGGCTCCCCTCCGCCCGCTCCCCTGCCTCGACCCGAGTGGTCATCAGTCACTCAGGAAACAGACTGGTGTCATGCCTTCTCAGCCACCGAGGAAAAGTGGGCAAACATCTCCGTGTTCCCCCCCATTCCTGTGTGACTCTGGTGGCCGTTACCCCTGCAGACACAGAGCCCAGTGGCCAGAGCACACGTGAACGTAGAATATTCTGCGAAATCTCAGTTTGTGACACAGTGGAAACCACCAGAGGGAGAGGCCTCAGGGACCACGGGGGCCCCTATGCCCCTGAGCCCGACTCATCAGGGCCCTGTGGCGGCTGCAAAGGAGAGACCCACAGCCCGAGACTTCCCCATGTCGATTCCGGGGCAACACTGGGATTCGGGAGACAGTGGATGTCATTAACACTCATGCCCTTTAAGTAGGAAAAGATGGTCTATAAATATTTCTGACCATGAGCTAATAGTTGGACAGGCCGCCTTCCGCCCCCAGGGCCGTGGGGAACCCCGCTCTCGGCCGGGTGCAGCTGAGGTTCTACAAAGGCCCTTTGTTGGGGTCCGAATGGACAGACGCGGGAGGAGAGGGCAGGGTGGGGGGCCTGCCCCGGGGACTCCCTGGTTCTGACGCTGAGTGGGAGGAGATGTAGGGTCCAACGTGACCCTGCCTGGGGACCCCCCTCCCCACCCAGCTCTGGTTCCACTCATCCCAAGACACAAAGTCAAGTGACTTACACCAGGGGTCCCCGGTGGGGCTGTCCTCAACCCCCAGTGAAACACAGTTTGGGGCTTTTTTTTTTCTATGCATAGAAAGGACACAGAGAAGGACAGCGAGGGAGAGACTGTCACCCAAGTCGGGCCATACTCCCACTTCGCAGAAGCACCAACTTTGATTTTATCTTCGGTGGCCAGAAGAAAAGGACAGATACACAGGGTCAGGATTTGCCGTCCTTCTCCCAGAGACACCCCTGCCAGCCTTCTGCGATTAGCCAGAGGCCCAGCGAGATTTCACACTCTGGGCTCGGGTTTCTGGGCCCCACGAGCCAAGGGTCAGCTGGCCCCAGTTATGAAAGACGATAGCGCCCGCTCACTCCCCCTCCCCCCACCCCCATCTTCTGCTGGGCATGACCACAAAGTCCGAGTTTGTAGCTGCACAGAGAGGAGCCCCAGCCCCCGTTTCTGTGGGATTTATCTTTTTTTTTTGAGGGGGAGGGGCGGGGGGCACACCCAGCGATGCTCAGAGGTCACTCCTGGCTCTGCACTCAGGAATTTCCTGGTGTTGCTCGGGGAGCTGTATGCGATGCCGGGGAGTGAACCTGGGTCGGCAGCCTGCAAGGCAAACACCCTCCCTGCTGTCCCCGTCTGTCTCTCTGGCCCCAGGGTTGCCGTGGGTTTTAAACACACTCACACCTCCCTGCCCATCTGTGGAGTTAGCCCTGCGGAGCTGAATTGCAGCGGGGCAGTTTTGCTGTGGAGAGAGCCCCCAAGTCTGGCTTCCTGTGGGGACCGGAGCCCTGAGTCCCTTACCCGAACCGATCCAGGCACCCACCCCCACCCCGTAGCCAGAGACGCCTGCCCTGTGTGCCTGGTGGGTGAGGGGAGAGGCCTGAGCCGAGGGTCCCCCCTCATGGGGGCCCCAGGCCAGGGGACACTACCTGTCCGAAGGATCTCCCCCGCCCTGCTGCTCTTCTTCCTGATCAGGTTTTGGGGGTCCCAAGGTCGCCCCTCAGTCTGTGAGTCACTGGTCCCCGGCAGCCCCCCCCCCCACCGTGTCCAGACCACCTCTCCGTTCTCCTTGGGGTTTGGGGGATGGGCCAGTCATTGCTTCTTGTCCATGGGGAGGCCCCGGCTCAGAGGGAGGCAGCGCAGCCCCCTTTATCTAGTAGGGGGCTGTGTCGCATTCCAGGGTGGAAGCCCCCATGCTGGACTCTCTCCTCCTGCCCCCACCCAGCTCGTCTTCCGCTCCCAGGAGGAAGGGAAGGGGGGAACTTCCGCCACTTGCCACTCGGACAGGGCGACAGGGCGCCAGGTCGTGCTGAAGTCACACCCCACATCCCCACTCGCTCTCTCTCTCTCTCTCCCCCCCTCCCTCTCCCTCTCTCTCTTTTCCCTCCCCCTTCCCTCTCTCCCCCCCTTACCTGCTAGTTGCTTGGGTTCAAGCTCTGCTTCCCCCCCCCCAAAACCCTGGCTTATGTGGCCGCCAACCGTCCGTTGGTTTTGCTGGACGAGAGCTAGCCTGGCCTCCGAGTCAGGCCGGCCTTTTCACCCAGACCTTTTTTTTTTTTTTTTAAATTTCTGTTTTCGGAACCACACCCAGCAATGCTCAGGGGTTACTCCTGGCTCTGTGCTCCACCTCTGGAGAGGCTCGGGACACCCCTAGGGGGCACCAGGGACAGATTGTGGGTCGGCCGCGTGCAGGCAGGCACCCTCCCACTGTCCCATCTCTCCGTGAGTCACTCGGGCCTTCTCAGGTGCTTCAGAGACGGCAGCTGCCGAGCTGGAGGCGCCCGTCCCCCACAGACTGTCCGAAGCTCCCCTGGTCCCTGCCCTGGCTCCTGTGGCCGACCTGCATGTCCTCCTCTCTCCTGCTCCCCATCCTTGCCGGCTCCCTCTGCACACGTTGGTGTAGCTGCGTGGGAAGCAGACGCCTGCCCTGTGTTCCTGCCCCGGAATGGGCCATCAGCACGTGTCTTTGCGGCTGCTATCCAGAGCCGACCCGAATCTTTGACGGCTGGTGGACCCCACCACCAGCTGTCTCCCATCCCCGGGCATCGCTGGGGAGGGCGCTGGGCACCCCCCCCCCCCCCGCCCCTGCGGCTCTGACCTCCTGGAACTCTTCCTTGCAGGCTGTCACTCAGAATTGAACCCGGAAGCAGCTCTCCGAGGCTCGTCTCCTCCAAGGAAGACCTTGCAGGTAGCCTCGCCATTCCCCCATCCCACCCCCCACCCCGAGTGGGCGTCTGTCCCTTGGGCCCTCTCTGCCACCATGCGGCTGCCTGAGGGGGCTTGAGCTGTGGGTCAAAGGGCAATGTGAGCAGTGGTTTGCCACTCACCTCCCTCCCCCACCAGCCCAGCTGGAAGCCTGACCGCCCAGTGGCCCCCGGGGGCCCCCTGGACTCGGGTCCTGGGAGGGGCCTGGAATGAGCACCCCTCCATGGGGCTAGCCAAGAACTTTGAGCTGAAAGCATATGTGGGGTGGGCGTCCCCTGGGCCCGCTGGGGTCCTGCTCAGCAGCCTCCTGCCTGGCCAGGGACCAGCCCTGTGGAGCACCAGCATCTTTGGGGGTTCGTCCATTGGTTCTTCCATTGGGTTCACGCGGAGAAGGGTAAGGTGGGATGCGGGGCCACGCCCAGCCCCATGGCAGAACAGTGAGTGACTCCCACACCCGTCTGCACAGTCTCCGTCCACTTCTCCCTGGGGACGTGTGCTGTCCCCTTCTGTCGCTCAGTCACAGACCATGACTGACCGCGGCTGGTGGAGAAGGGACAAGATTCATTACAGGGGGCCTTGGAGCTGGGGGCTCCAACCCAACTTTCTCCTCTGGTCGGCCTTGGCTTCGAGGCTCTTGCTGTCTTGGGCAAGTGACATCAGCTGTCTGGGTCTTGGTGTCCTTTCTCGTCAGCGGGGAGACAAGTGAGGTGCAGGCTCGGTCCCCGGAAGTCGGGGTGTCCAGGGTCAGAGGCTTGTTGATGATGAGGTTGGCCCTTGCCAAAGCCAGGGGTTGTCTGTGAAATTCGGGGGACCCCCCCCCAGGCACCACTGTCCGTAGATGGGCCCTGCCCGAGTCCATGGAGGTGAGGCCATCCTCACCTCCCAACAGGCCCCTCCCCAGGGCGGCCACAGCTGCCTGGCCTTGTCTCAGCACGGCCTCCTCCCAGATGGAACCCAAGCCCAGTCGGCAAAGGGAGCCAGAGGTGGGACCCTCCTGATGCTACTTCCTCCCAACCATCCTGCTTCTGGAACATTCTCCCCGTGTTCCTGCCTTCAGCCAACAGGTCCCCTTCTGCATGCTGGCTCACTGTGCCGGCCTCGGGATGCAGGATCCCCTTGGGGTGCAGAAGCGGATGCTGTGACTCATGAAGGATCAGAAGGATGTGCGTGGCCTGGGCCGTGGCTTCTGGAAAGCGCACAGGATGCTAGGGCCTGAGCCAACCCAAGGCTCCCTGCACGGGTCTGAGTCGCAGGCACCCTGGGGAGCCACGATACCCCCCCCCCCCCAGCACTCAGGCCCCGCAGGACAGCAGAGGGCAGCCCCACTCTCTGCCCAGGAGCAAGGGGAAGAAACAGACACACCTTTGGGTGGGGGGCGGGGCCCTCCTGGGGAGAAGCAGGTACCAAGAACAGCCACGTCACCGTGTCCTCACCAGGACCCATGTTCGGTTTTTGCAAATGAGTGGCTGTCTCCCAGCCACAGAGAAGGCCGACCCCCACCCAAGCACCGCGCCCCCGTGCCAGGGACCTGGGGCCACCTCGGGCCGGTGCCCACCAGCTGACCATGGGCTTCTGCCACCTCCACTGACCCTCCCTTGGCAACAGACTGATCCCTGAGTCTCTCTGGTGCCGCGGCCCACGGTCCCCTCTACGGCCCTGCTCGGGGCTGGGGTGGCCGGAGTGCGGTGAGGGCGCCCTGTGTGAGAAGGGCTCTGGGAGACAGCGTCTGTGACGGTTGGTGACCGTGGGACACAGCTGGGGGACCCCACGCAGCCCCCGCACAGGCCGCAGAGCCGCCCACCTTGGAGGAAAACGACCGTTTCCACCTCCACACGGGTGCTGTGGGGCCAGAGATGCCGGGGCTCTGTGGAACGGACACAGCTGCGCCCAGCCACACGTGATGGGCACAGCCCCCGCGCTCAGCCTTCCCTCACCCCTGCTCGCCTGGGGGGATGTGCTGCCCCACATGCAGCAGGAGGGGGCCACCCATGTTGGCCACCCACACCCAGGGTCTGGGCATTGCTGTGCCCTGTCGAGCCCAGAGGACAGGCAGGACCATGTGGTGGTGTTGCTCACCCCGACCTCTGTCCCTTTGCCCCTTGGTCCATTCAGGACTGAAGACCCCCCCCCCCGATCTGGAGATCAGACAGACACAGCCCTGCCTGTCCCCACCTGTCCCGACTGGGTCCCCAGGAGAAGCCCAGCCCGGCCTGGTGTGCAGACTCCTGCCTGCCCGGGGGAGGGGGAGGTTGAGGAGTGGGGGTTCAGGCCTGCCTGGGGTACTGAGGGGGGGCAGGTACAAGCTAGTTTCAGTCCCCGCCCTGCCCAGTGCTGCCACCGCCACTTCTCACGGGCACCTCTTTGTTTTCCGGAAGCCGCACGAGCCCCAGAGAGGGGTAGCCTCCTCGGGCCGTCAGTCTCTGCTGCTGCAACTTCTCGCTGTCTCTGTCCCCTCCGCACCAGCTGTTCTCGGGCCACACGGCAGTGGTGGGGACACGCCCGTCCTTCTCTGGCCCGTCTACATGGCCACCAAGTCCTCTGCCCATGCCACTGGGCCTCTGGGCCTGGGCTAGGCACCCAGTGTCCCCAGGGCTCCGCCTTGCTGGGGACACATCTCAGGCCGTCCCCTTCCCCCCTGGGCAGCGTCTGGAGACCCTCTTCAGGCCAGGACACACCCCTCCTCTCAGGTTCTGTGATGGATGGGGGGGTTCGGGAAGGCACCCAGGCCCGGAATCTGGGTCCCTCCGCCCCCGAAACTTCCCATTGGCTTCACTCTGCGGCTCTCAGTGGCCTGCTGAGGATTCTGGGCTCGAACCCAGAGGGTCGGGAGAGACCCGCACTCCTGCCTCTCAGGAGGAATCTGGCGCCTGTGGGCCCCGGCGTTGGGGAGTAGGTGCTCAGTTTTGGTGCCCAGGAGAAATGGGTGCGGGGCCGGGGGAAGGGTCGGAGCCAGCGTCTGGCCCGCTGCAAGGCCGTGAGAGCCGCCACGCGAGGGACCAGGAATGCGTGTGAACGTGATGCCGACCGGCTCCCAGGCTCGCCCGGAACCTGGCCAAAGACGGTTTCAACACATGGACAGACATGCTGAGTCCCCGGCCCGGCCTGGCACAGCCGCCACGGGCCCCGTCTGGGAACAGGGCGCCGGCTCCTAGAAGGGACAGCCAAGGAGGAAACAGAGTCTTGGCCGCAACGGAGCTGGTGGGGCAGGGGGATGGGGGGAGGGTGGTCCTAAGCTTCTGGCTCCTGCAGGGCAGAGGCTGGATGGGGACACACGTCTCATGACTGCCAGTGGGTGACGCTTACACCTGCAAGGCCGTGAGCACGCCCCGCTCAGGGTAGGGTCACCCCAATGCGCCTCCTGATAGCAGCAGGGCTGACCCCGGGCAGGGCCACTCAGTGGCCACATTCACGTGGGACGGTGCTCCCAGCCAGCCACTCTGCCTGATGCTGGATCCCAGGAACCTCCGGGTATCCCCGCTGGGGAAGCACCCCTTTTCCTTGGGCACTAAATAACCGCCGCTGTGGAGACCATGCTCAGGTGGCCGTGGCCTTGAGGGCAGATGTGGATGGACTCGCTTGACCCGGCCCCCGGCCCAGTTCCTCCAGGAACGCCCCTCCCCCCCCCCACCTCTGACTGAGCTCCAAAGTGAGGACAGAGTGTTCTTCTCTGCTTCTCACTTCTGAGGGACACGCTGAACAGACGTCCCTCCGGCCACTGCAGGCCTTCCTGATGGACAGGGCCCGCTGTGGCATTTGCTGCCCTGGGTGCCATGCCAGACACCTCCCGTGTGCTCTCCAGAGATCAGGGACCGGAGAGGAGGTGGCTGAGACTGTGCCTCCGTCCCTACCTCCTACCAGATAGGGTGGCCTTTGGAAGCGGCCACTAGGCAGGGCTGAGTGAGGGGCTTCTGAGAGCTCCCCATTGGGTGACGCCCATGGTGGCCTTGAGTCCCCACAACCATGTGACAATTGCTGTCACCGGGCTTATCACTGATGCTCTAGCGCAGTGGCCCTGTTACCTGTCTCACTCCCCCGTGTGACCCCCCCCCCACTAGAGCTGACCATCAGCTTCCCATCCAGCACAGCTGCCAGCCCCGATCCTGATCAGGGGATACCCTCCCCCTCCTCCCCTTCCTCCCCGCCACCACCCCTGCTTTGTAACTGAAGAACTCGGAGCCTCCGTGGGCACAGCCCCTGGCCACATTCAGCCCTGCTCACGGCAAGCCCAAGCCCGGTGGCCACTGGCCTGAGCCTGATGGTGTCTGGTCCGTCCCCCTCTGGTCGCGTCCCCTCCCGGGCTTTCCTGGAAGGCCCGTGGTGCCCTTTGCTCTTCGCCGGCCCCCTGGTTTCACGGAGGGGCTGTAATGAGAACCAGGCTTTTTTCAACGTGATATCTCGTTCCCCACGAGACCGTCAGTTCTCATATGTTCCAATAAAACTGCTGAAGAAACAGCCACTTAAAGAGTTTTAAAGATTATTCATGGAAAAATTATGCCGAGGAAAAACAGAGCGATCCTCTGAGATAGTCAGGCCCCACGGTCAGTTTTTCCAGCTGTTTGTGCCATATCGGGCGGGCGGTGGGGACCACACTCTGCTCAGCGGGGCCCGAGCCCAGGCCCTGATCTCGCCACCGAGCACCCCCACCCCCCACTCCGGGATGCAGGGAAACGAACTTGCCAGGCGCCCGGCCCAGAAACGGGGCCTTCACGTGGGACTTCCCGGGCCGGGGCTGATGGTGCCTTTCCACAGCAACGTCCGCCCCCCCTCCTGGGGCCCAGGCGAATGGAAATTCTTTTGTTATGGTTTTGGGTTTGTTTTTATTTAGCTTGGGGGACCACACCCAGCAGTGCTCACCAACTGCTCCCGGTGGTGCTTTGGGGGGCAGGAGGGGGGGGACCTTGCACAGCCAGGGATGGATCCCAGGGCTCCTTGGCCAGAGCCTGCGCTTCATTTTCCTGCCTCTTCAGCCCAGGCTGGCGGGGGCCGGGGGCCTCCCAGAGCTCATGGGGTGTCTCCGCCTGGAAGAGGGCCAGGGAGAGCACAGCCTCTGTGCCTTGCACCCCCCCCAGCTGGGTCAGGGGGCAGCTGAGGCCACCTGCCTCCCAGGGCCGTCCCTAGAAGAGGGGGCGGCCCGGCCTCTGCCAGGAGGGAGCCTCGGAGCTGAGCGGAAGAGGCTGAGGAGTGGGAGGCCCGGGAGAGCCGGTCTGGCCCTGGCGCCAGGAGGCAGGCGCTGTGTCCCGCAGCGGCCCCTTCCGGAGAGGACAGGAAGCCCAGGAGCGCCCTGCAGCAGGGCTGGGGTGTGAACGGGCCCCTGAAGGGTGGCCACGGCCCCGCTCCCCACTCAGAGCAGGACACGAGGGGCCCTCCTGAGCAGCAACAGACCTCCCCCTGCAGAGTCCTCCCAGACCCCGCCAGTGTCCTCAGCCTCGGCCTTCCAGCCCAAGCGCAGTTCCCCAGCAGCCGGTGGGTCATGTCCTGCTTGGGGTGCCTACCAAGATTGGGGCAATCGACCCCCACCCGACCGGTTCTCAGGGGGCGGAGGGGCGGAGCCTGTTATCAGGGGTCGAGGCCGGTTCTCAGGGGGCGGAGCTGGTTCTCAGGGGGCGGGGCTAGTTCTCACAGGGGCAGAGCCGGTTCTCAGGGGGCGGAACCACTTCTCAGGGGGCGGGGCTGGTTCTCACAGGGGCAGAGCCGGTTCTCAGGGGGCGGAACCACTTCTCAGGGGGCGGAGCTGGTTGTCAGGGGGCCAGAGCCTGTTCTCATTGGGGCAGAGCCAGTTCTCAGGGGCGGAGCTACTTCTCAGGGGCGGAGCTACTTCTCAGGGGGCGGGGCTGGTCCTCAGGGGCAGAGCCAGTTATGGGACGGAGTCGGTTCTCAGGGGCGGAGCTACTTATCAGGGGGCGGAGCTGGTTGTCACAGGGCCAGAGCCTGTTCTCATGGGGCAGAGCCAGTTCTCAGGAGGCAGAGCGGCTTCTCAGGGGCGGAGCCACTTCTCAGGGGGCGGGGCTGGTTGTCACAGGGCCAGAGCCTGTTCTCATTGGGGCAGAGCCAGTTCTCAGGGTGGGGCTAGTTCTCAGGGGGCGGATCCACTTCTCAGGGGGCGGGGCCACTCTCAAGGGGCGGAGCTGGTTATCACCGGGCCAGAGCCGGTTCTCATTGGGGCAGAGCCAGTTCTCAGGGGGCGGAGCCACTTCTCAGGGGGCGGGGCTGGTTCTCGGGGGCAGAGCTCGTTCTCACCCTGTGCAGATGGAGCTGGTTCTCTCCAGGGAGGAGCCATGGACTCTGACCCAAACAGTGACTTCTCAGAACCGGGGTGGGAGCCAGAGTGGCTCAGACCTCTTCATAAGCCTGCAGGCTGCAAGCAGAGCGGTGCCTTCTGCCCTCCACAGGGACCCGCACCCTGAGCCACACACTGCCTGGCACCACTGCAGGACCCCAATTGTGCTCTTCACCCAGGGATGCCCCTCAGATTTCCCAGACAGCAGCAGAACTAGTAACTCCATGGCCTGGCCCACCTGGGATGATTTACCCCATTACCCGTGTGTGTATGTGTGTGTGTGTGTGTGTGTTGGGGGGGTTTCCCCAGGAACCCGCACACACTCCAGGGTCAGGCCCACACCCCCACAACCCTCTCTACACTCTCTCAGGGCCAGTGGTGCTGGGGCCATGAGCCCTCACTGGGGCCACGGTCCCCAAATTCCCTATTCTGGATCTTTCTCTCAGACCCTGTCACCGAGACGCCCGGTGCACCCTAGGGCCAAACCTCCAGACTGTCCCCTCCCTCCTGGCTCCCCAGTGCCTCTCTCTGGGTGCACCCAGAGTCACTTCCTTCTCCACCCACGGGGACACCTTCTCCCACAGCGAGGCCCACTTGTCCCTTGCCTGCCATAGAGCTGCCCTCGTGGCTTTCTGGGTTCCATCCTGAGCATCCAACTCAGGGTCATAGTTGGCGGCCGTTGCTCCGCCATGACCCAGTTGGGCCAAGTGCTGTGAAGGCTGCGGGCTGCGTGTCAGGGAGCCCTGAGGACAGCTCGGGACAAGGGCCAGTCACTGCCCCTGCCCATGCGGAGGGAACCCCGGGTGGGGAGTTGGAGCACTGCCTGCCTCACTCACTCCCTCCCTATGGCTGAAGGTGGGGGACTTGCAGTGGATGGGCACAGGGGCCCGCGGCCTCTCCCTCTGCCTTGGTGCGGGCCGTGGCCGTCCTCTGTGTGGCCTGATGGGAAGGCCCCTGGGCCTTTGCACGGACCCCTTTGGTCTGAGAGCCCGGCCAGGTGTCCTGCAGCCCCCCCAGCCCCCCGTGACACTCTCTCTGTTCACAGGCCCCTCCGCCAGCTCCAGCTCCGCCCGCTTCAGCCGGAGGCCCACGTGCCCAGACGCATCGGTCGCCGGCAGCCTCCCCACGCCCCCCGTGCCAAGACACCGGAAGAGCCACAGCCTGGGCAACAAGTGGGTAACGGCGTGAGCCTCGGCAGGCCGGGACTGGGCGGAGGGAGCTCTGGGCTTCCCGGCGGGGGCCCTTGCCTGACCTGGCACGGTCTCGAAGGTGCTGGGGGTGCCCAGCCGCAGAGTCTCTGTACCGTGATGGGTACCAGGGGCTGCACAATGGGTGCAGGGGCTGCACAATGGGCGCATAGGCAGGCTGGCATCCTGGCAGTGTGCCAGGCCCATGACCGTGTCCCTCGCGGAGGAGCGCAGGGTCCAGGCGCCCATGACCCTCACCAGGTTCCTGCCAGGGTCAGCCTCGAGTCTCTGCTGCCACCTGCCGCCCCTCCTGCCACCACCCCACCGCATCCAGCCCTGTGGGGACAGAGGGACACACAGACGGGCCTGGGCAGATGGGCCACCCGCCTCCCTCTCTCCCTCCCTCCCTCCCTCCTTCCTCCTTGCCTGCCTTCTTCCCTTCCTCCTCCCTTTCTCCCTCCTTCCTTCCTTCTCCTTCCTTGTTTCCTTCCTTCCTTCCTTCCTTCCATCCTTCCATCCTTCCTCTCTCCCTCCCTCCCTCCCTTCTTTCCTTCCTTTCTTTCCTCTCCTTTCTTCCGTCCTTTCTTCCTTCCTTTCTCCCTCCCTCCCTCCCTTCCTTCTTCCCTCCCCCACTAGTCCCCGTACCCCCATCCCAGCTAGCCCTGCCCTGGCCAGGAGGACGTGGGCACTGTGAGTGGACGGATGTTCAGTGTGACTCTGCTGTGCCGCCCGCCCCGCCATGGAGTCCCACGCCTGGACAGGCCTGAGTGTGTGGGGCTGTGGGCAGGCGGGCAGCGGGCGTGCAGAGGAGTGTCGGGGCAAGGAATCGGTTGGGCGCGTGCGACCCCCGGCCCGGTTGCGCTGCGTGGTCGGCGCTGACCCTGTGCTCGCGTGGCCCCGCCGCTCACCCCTCGCCGCCACCCCGCCTGGCGATCGCGGGAGACCAGTAGGACAGTTAGGGAGTGCCGGGCCCCAGGGCCCGCGTGTGGCGGGGTAAGGAGCCGCCTTCTCTCTCCTTCCGTTTCCAGTCTCATGTGTCAGTTGAGTGTAGTTGAGAGTAAAAGCGCCACGTTCCCGTCGGAGAAGGCGCGGCACCTGCTGGACGACAGCGTCCTGGAGTCGCGCAGCCCCCGCCGGGCGCTGGCCGCCTCCTCCGCCGCCACCAACGGACTCTCCCTAGGTAAGCGTGTCTGTGTGTCGCCGTGCGTGCCCGGTGCTCCCCCACAGGAGTCCCCAGGGCCCGGGAGGCCTTTGATCCCGGCTGCCGGGGCCTCGCCCCATGCCCGGACCCCCGAGTGTGGCAGGCGCCACCGGACCGAGACCCCCCGACGGCAGCCCCGGAGGGTGCCGCGCGGGGGTGGAGCAGCCTGGGGACCCCCGCCGGGCGGGCCCTGGGCCTCCCTGTGTCCTTGTCTGTCCCCAGGAGCCAGAGTGAGGCAGGATTGAAACGCTTTGTGGGGGAGGGGTGGGGTTCGTGTGCCTGAGAGCAGGGCGAGGGTTCGAGCCGGGCGCCCCGCTGGGCCAGGTCCTGTCCTTGCTGTGGCGGGAGACATGGGACCTCGTCTCTCCGTGCTTCTGTGGTCTGTGTCCGTGTGTCTGTCTGCTCCCGGGCGGTGGGGAGCAGGAAAGTGGGTCCCTATCTCTGTCACTGCCTGTGCTCCGACCGTCTCAGGCCAGGTCCACCGCTGCCTCTGCCCTGGGCCCAGATGGGAGGGGACAGCGGCTTCGGCCGTGGCAGCCGGGGGTCCCTGGGCACGTCCAGGAGGCAGATTCCAGCCTCCACGGGTCAGAGGGAGGCCAGGCAAGTGCAGGGCTTCCCGAAACTTCTCCGGGATGCGAATGTGGATTTGCGGCCTAAGGGGCGCCCACAAAGCCTTGGCGTCCTGCATCACGGAACCCTCCCGCGGCTGTCCCCAGGCACAGAGCCCAGAGAGAGTCCCACGGACTGGGCCCAGCTGTAGGAGGGCCCTGGAAAGGAAACCCGTGGCCTTCCTGGGCCCAGAGCAGAGTCAGCCCAGGAGCCCGGCCTCAGGCAGGAGCTCGGAGGCGTTTGGGCACCCCTCCCTGCATCCCTCAGGGCACAGACCCTTCCTGCCGGAGCTGAGCTCCTTGTCCATGAGCAGGCGTCCAGGTGGAGCCCAGCTGGTGGGCCCCTCTCCTGGCAGAGGGCGCTGCTAAGGCTGACCCCAAGGGCTGCCCTCTCCCCTGGCCCAGCCCCCTTGTCCCCTCCGAGGAGTAAACTGAGGCAGCTTGGAGTGGCTTAAAGTGTCCGGAGGATCTCCTCTGTGCCAGCAGGGCCCGGGCCTTGGGGAGCCCCTGAGAAGCGTGGCGCCCCCGCTGAGCCTCCTGTGGAGGCAGAGGTGGCCCAGAGGGAGGGAGGCAGGGTAGCCTGGCCAGGCCAGCAGACCCCGAGGTGGCGGTGGACCGACAGCTGTGGCCCTCAGAGAGAGAACCCTCCCCCCTGGAGAAGGGCCTGGAAGGCTTTGGATTTGGGCCCTCCTGGGGCAGAGTTGGGGCCGTGGATAGGACAGGGCCGGGGAGCTGGTGTCCGGCGCCCCGTGGAGAGGCCCCCGAGGTGGCCGCCAGCTCACTGATCTGTGTTCCTTTCCAGGCAGTAGTGAGAGCTCAGAGTTTAGTGAAGAGATGTCTGCAGGGCTGGAAAGGTGAGTGCGGCCTCCGCAGCCTCCTCCTGGGGAGACGCTCGGGCCCAAAGCAGCCGAGAGAGGGTCCGGGCACGGGCCAGGCCGATTAAGAGGCCCAGAGCAGGTGGGCAGCGGAGGGAGGGGCTGCCTAGAGAGCGAGCCCGGCTGAGACAGGCCTGGCTTGGAGACGGGGGCGTGGCTCCCCCTGGTGGTGGCAGAGAGTGTTGCAGCAGCACGGCCTAGACCTGGGGCACCGGCCACAGCAGAGGGGCGCCGCTGCCCTCCCCCTCGGGGACCCCTCAACCCGGGCCGTGCTCCCTGCCACCAGCTCTCTGTCCTGGGAATGCACCGCCACTCAGGAAGCCGCCCGCTGCCCACTTCACCTGCTGAGTGGGAGGCAGGCAGAGGCGGGCTCCCGGGAACAGGGTCCGAGAGGGAAAGTGTCAGGCAGAGCCACCCCCAGTGTGGACTGGGTGGCGTCCAGGGGAGGCAGGAGGAACCCAGCACGCAGGGGCCAGAAAGCAGCTTCGCGGCTGCCTGCAGTGTGCCTCCCACACATGGGCAGGGGCTGCTGAGTACATGGTCTGTCACACAGTCACACACACAGTCACACAATCTCACACACAGTCATGCATCACACCAGTCACACACACACAATCACACACAGTCACACAGTTTCACATACAGTCATACAGTCTCACACACAGTTACACAGTCTCACACAGTCACACAGTCACAGTCTCACACACACAGTCTCACACACAATCTCTCACACAATCTGAATGCACAAATTGTGCACACTCATACACATGACACACAATCTCATACTCATTCGAACATTGTCTAAGAGGGCCACATTCAGTCTCATGCAGTCTCCCATACACAGCCTCACACACACACACGCACACACAGAGTCTCACACATACTGTCTCATACACACAATAACACATTTACAGCTGCACAATCTCACAGTCACACGGACTCACACACATATGGTCTCCTACACATACAGTCACACACACACAGTCTCATACACACTCACACAGTCTCAGGCATGTTCATGTAATCTCTGAACACAGCCTCAGACATTCACACACACACACACACACACACACACACACACAGAGCCTCACGTTCATTCTCCTCACACAGACATTGACCCAAGCACACGCTTCACACAGCAGCCTCACAGAGTCTCACGCACACCCTCTCTCACAGTTTTCCATACTCACACGCACACTCATGCCGTCTCACACAGCACACTCACAACTGCTCACAGTTACTGACTCTGACACACAGTAGTTCACACATGCTCTTTCGCACAGTCACACACACACACTCGCACCCGCTCCAGCTTCCAGCTTCCTTCCGCTAGTGCCCATCTTCCAGAGGCCTGAGGAGGGGGCTCACCCTGCTAGTGCTCCCAGACTGAGGGCCCATTGTGCTGCTAAGTGACCGTTGAGGGGTATCGTGTGGCCCCGAGTCTCGCCAGGTCCCAGGGCCCCGACAGAGGAACTGCGTGTCCCCACTGTGTACGTGTGACCGCAGGCCCGGAGAGGTGATGTGCCTCGTCCTGCTTCACATGTGTCTGGTGGGCAGTCGTGACCCAAGCCACGTCCCCAGCCCCTCACCCGCCGCTTCCCACTGTCCCACCGCCTCTGTGGCCACGTGGGGTCAGGCCGCCTGTCCTGTTGGGGAGCGGGCCAGTGTCCCTGACTCTGCGGCCTGGCCCCTTGCATTTGTTCCAGGCGCCAGATTCTGCCCTGGCAGGGGTGCCCGCTGCCCTGGCTCTGGACAGCCTCGAGGCAGAGGCCAGACTAGTGGATGCAACGAGTGAGAAGCGGTCAGCAGTTGGGGGCCCTGGGGAAACCCCTTTCTGGCCAAACTCCCCTGGCCAAAGGGCCAGTGAGGAGTGAGGGGCCGCGAATAGGAAGACCTGGATGCCCAGCAGGGCTAACCCCACTTAGCTGACTCCCCGGGCTCCCTGGGTACCTGTTTCTCGGGGTGCGGAGGGGAAAGTTGCTTCTTGGCCGGTCGCAGGGGGACCTGTACCCGGCCTCGTGGGGGGCACCTGCACTTGGCCTGTGGCGCGCCCGCTTGGGAAGTCTCCGTCTTTCTTCCTCCCCTCCCCAAGCCTGAGGTCCAGCCTGCTGTCCTGGTGTGGGACCAGTCTGCTGTCCACTGTGTGGGGCTGTGACGGTCACTCACTGTCCCCGTGTGCGTGGTGCGGGGGCGGGGTGGGGACTGATACGGGCGCTCACTGTCCCTGCGTGTGGGACTGGGACAGACGCTCACTGTCCCTGCTGTGCATGAAGCAACTGTCACAGGTTCTCTGGGTCGGTCCACGTGCACCCGAGTCTGCCCCTGTGGTCTCAAGAACCAGCTCCTGGCCCAGCCCGGTGTGGCCTGTGGGCCGTCCTGATCCTTCCCAGACCCGAGGCTGCCTTGCTGCCTCTTTTCTGTCTCCATGAGGACCCCCTTCTCCCCGAGTCCCAACAGCGCACATTCCTGACCCTGCGAAGCCCACAGGCCTCACACCCCGGGAAGTTTCCATCGAAGGCCGCTCCTTTCCCAGGCCCTGGGGTGGCCACCCTCACCCCTGTTTCTGACCTCGCCCACCAGCCAGCCCTCTCGCCCACCGGGCAGGAACGGTGGCCGGACCTGAGCTCCTAATGTCCCCGGTGTCCAGGCCAGGGCACTGACGATTAGAGGCCAGCCCCTTCTCTCTGCCCACCCAGCAGAATGGAGCCAAAGTCTGGGTGCAGGGGGCCGGTCAGCCCTACCCCCAGGGCACACATCTACGGTTTGGGGGTGCCTCCCTGTGCCAGGTAGGCAGGAGCCCCCCCCATGTCCCACCAGGGGTGGCTGACTTGGCTCCGTCTCACAAGTCTGCTTCCTGAGCTTAGACTTGGGGACTTTGCAGGGTCCCCCCTCCCCGCCAGAACCCCACCCCGCAGCCCAGACGCACCCCCATGCCCCTCACTGGCCACTCCCGGAGATCTCCATAGGAGCTGCAAAGGCCAGGGACCCAGTGCTGTGCTCTCGGGGGTGCCCAGACCCTATCCTATGGTGTGGGGAGCAAAGGTTGCAGGGAGGGCGAGGAGAGGGAGCTGGGTGGGAGACACCCTGGAGAAGGGGGTCTCAGGAGAGACAGGGTGGTGTCTGGCCAGGGCCTCCCACGTCATGCAGAGGTCACAGGTGGCATCGTGTGGGTCAACCAGGACGCCCCTGGTTGTGGGGTCGAAGTGGCAGTGATGAGGCTCAATTTTTTTTTTGCTTTTTGGGTCACACCCGGCGGTGCTCAGGGGTTACTCCTGGCTCTGCACTCAGGAATTACTCCTGGCAGTGCTCAGGAGACCATTTGGGATGCCAGGGATTGAACCAGGTTGGCTGCGTACAAGGTGGATGCCTCCCCTGCCGTGCTATGGCTCCGGCCTCGATGAGGCTCATTTCTACCTGCTGGCCACAGGCCCGTGAGTCTGTGACACAGTTTCTAGAGGAGTGGGGATGGGGGAGGGGAGTGTGTGAACTTGCGTGCCCCTGAACAGCGCCGGCCCCTCTGGAGCTGGGGGGTGGTTACCCATCTTCCTCTTCATTCTCCCCATTTCCACGGCGACAAGTGTTGCAGTTCCTCTCCAGAAAGGATCGACATTGAACTTTTTGTGGGGGGGCCACACCCGGCGGTGTGCGGGGCTCACTCCTGGCGGGTCTCGGAGGGGTCTTATTTGGTATCTGGGATCGAACTGGGGTCAGCCGGTGCCAGGCAAGTGTCTTCACGCTGCCTCTCTGGCCCTGAAGGTCTTTCGAGAAAACACAGTGAGAAGAACTTCCCGCCGGCCCTGTGGGTGATTGGTGAAGTCTCATACACACAAACACATGCCCTCCAACCCTGCGCCCTTTCCAGAAGTTCGCCACTTCCTGACCCGAGTGTGACGTGAGCACAGTCCCACGAGCCAGGAGTTCCAGGAGGCTGAGGGACCGCGAGGGGAGGAGAGGGGGTGACGGTGTGTTAGCCCGGGACTACGGGTTCCCAAGCGACGAGACGGAGAGACACAAGCACCATAATGCGAAAGCAGTTTTTGTTCCAGTATACCAACTGTCTCCCACACAGAGTGGTCCCTTGGCAGTGACTCCCCGACTTCAGGCAGCAAGCAGTTTATAGAGGGTTTGATACGTAAGCCGTACGTGCCTTATTGTTTCAGAAAGAAATCTTACTTGGTTAAGGTGTTTGGGCGAGCATCTAGGGTAACGGTGGTCAGGCAATGGTTAAACGATAGTTTCCACTCGAAGTTTATGACTACATAGGCATACATACATACATACGAAATCACGAAAATCACGACCATCCTGTTATTCGTCGATTGCCTCGAGCAGGCCCCAGTAACGTCTCCTTCATCCTAGCCCTGAGATTATATTCAAGGCTCTTTAGGAGAATGAGACCCATCATTGTTACTGGTATTTGGCATATTGGGTACGCCACAGGGAGTTTGCCAGACTCTGCCGTGTGGGCAGGCTACATTCGGTAGCCTGCCAGTTTGTCCAAAGTAGGAATGAGATAATAAGATGTCATAAAAAGATGTCCTGATAAGATGTCGCACGGCCCGCCGGGAGCTGGATTTTATAGTCTCTGAGTCTTGGCCGTTGATGGGATTACACGGCGCCAGGGGGCCAGTTGGTGGGTGTGACCCCCGCCTACTGGAATTCGGAGGATCTGGGTGGAGGATACTCAGCCCCGATCCGAGTAGGCTTGGAGATCTCGGCCCCGGAACCCGCTTGCCTTTGTTCCTCTGCCGGTACCTTCATGCATGTGGAGAGTGGTCTCAGCATGGTGGTGGCTGGTCCTCGAGGTCTTCGGCTGCCGGAGCCCTGGTCAGGGCGGGGAGGAAAGCTCAACCCGCTCCCCTCCAAGGGGCCCCGGCGAGGACAGCCAGGCGCAGGGGCAGGAGACTATACATACATACATACATACTTATTCTTTTAGGGTTAACAAACACAAAACAAATACTGTCCTCCCGTTGTTCATCGATTTGCTCGAGCGGGCCCAGTAACGTCTCCATCGTGAGACTTGTCGTTACTGTGTTTGGCATATGGAATGCGTCGCTGGTAGCTTGCCAGGCTTTGCCGTGCGGGCAGGATACTCTCGGTAGTTTGCCGGGCTCTCCAAGAGGGGCAGAAGAATCGAACCCGGCTCGGCTGGGCTGGCTGCGCGCAAGGCAAATGCCCTACCGCTGTGCTATCGCTCCAGCCCAACTTTTAGGGTTAACTTTTAGGGTTAACAAAAGGCAGATTTCTGGGGCGTTGTGATTGATTGATCGAGCCCACTTGCTGGGCCCAGGAACTTTCCAGGTGGGTTCCGGTTGGCTAGTTATGCATTGTCTCATTGCCGGGAACCTGAGACCGTTTCAGTTCCAGGAACTGAACCTGAGGTCTAGCTGATATTGCAGATTGCTGCCGCCTGTCATGGCGTCAGTTTTGCCCTGACAGGTATGATAGCCCCCGGCCACCTCTCCCCCCGGCCCCCGGGAGTGGACTTGCGGGGAGCCCACCCACCGTGGAGCTAGGGTACGGAGGAGGGTGGCATCTGGTACAGGAAGTGCCTAGGGTACTTGCCGTTGTGTTGGGGTACAGGAAACAGCCCAGCAGTGCTCACCGTTGTGTTGGGAACTCCGTGGAGTCTGGCCAGGGGGCCACTGAGCAGAGCCGGGGACCGGACAGTCCACAGAGGAGATGGGGAGACCCGGCACAAACTGCACGTGGATCGGCCTGGGGCACATCTGACCGTGGGTGGACCTGGCCCAGGGCCCGTCAGATTGTGGGTTTAGGCTAGACCGTCCCATTTCGATGCTGGGGTAGCTTCACCGCTCACCTCGGGTCCATCCCAGTCCCACAGTGGGACCTCCCTTTGTGGGGTGTCAGAACTCTGGCAACTGAAGCCTGAGTCAAGTCACAGTGAGAGACGCCCGGATCTATTTCCGAGTCAGTCAACTGCCAGCTGTTAGGAGCACAGCACTCACGGTCTTTGTGTTTAAGCAAAGAGCATTGCTCTGTAGTGAAATACGAAAAGGTTACAGGGCAAATAGAAAAGCAGGTAATTCACCACAAATACAAAGTCCAGAGTTATCAGGAATTTTTGGCCTGTGAATAACCGAGACTGATTTGGGGAATGTAACAATGAGAGGTAAAACACAAAGGAAAGGTTAAAGATAAACTCTGGGGATTAGGGGGGCTCGCAGGAGCACTGTAATCATCTCTGGGAGGAGGAAAAGGGGCAATTTACTGATGAGGCCTTGAACATTTAGTGTTAATATCCAACAATCACCATCATCACCATCTCCATTACCTCCATCATCACCATCTGCATCTCCATCTCCATCACCATCTCCATCACCATCACCATCTCCATCACCACCATGATCACATCACCATTTCCATCACCATCATCATCATCACTACCTCCATCACCACCATCATCACCATCTCCATCTCCATCACCATCATCACCATCACCATCTCCTTCACCACCATCATCACCATCTCCGTCACCATCACCCCAACATCTTTGCCGCTGTCATCTCCACCTTCACTGTCATTGGCATCTTCGTGGCCGTCTCCATTACCATGGTCTCCCGCATCTTCACCCCCCCCACCCCCAACCCTCCTCCTCCTCCTCACACCAGTCTCTTCCCCGTCCTCGTCATCGTGCTTTCGTGGGGACGACAGGGCCTGCCTCCTGTCCAGCCCAGAGAACGGGGGCCTGCGCAGCCTTGGTTCCCCCAGCAGGGACGGTGCATGGACGGGGACGTTCAGGTGTGCCCCCTGCATGCCGAGGTTCTGGAGGGGGCGCCCCCAGGTCACCCGGAGAGATTCCCCGGCTCTGGGGTTCCCCACATCCCGCTGCCTGTTCCTTCGGGTCTTTCTGGCCCCGGACGTCCCACAGTAGATTTGCCGGGGTCCGGGGGCAGAGTGCCAACTTGCCTGGGTCTACCACAGCCAGCACTGCAGGAGGCCCCACCCCACTTCTGCGTGCCAGCTGCTCCCAGGAGAGTGCTCCGTCCAGGGGAAGCCCATAGCAGCCTCCCGTCGCACCCACTTGCTCGTCCGTCCCTGATGACAGGCTGACCAGGGGGAAAGGGGAGTGGGGAGGAGAGCAGGTGGGATCACCCCCTTGTTCTTAGTCCCCTCACTCAAACAGGAACTGGGTCCCTCGCACACTGCGGGGAGAGGAGGAGCATCTGACAATGCCCTGTGGTTTCCCCGCTGCTCTGTACTGGGGGCTGGGCCCGCCCGGGGCGCACCGTGGTCCGGGAGGTTCAGGGCTCCCTCATGCAGGGGCACCGCCATGTCCACCCCCGCATGAGGCTCCGACCGGCAGGAGCCAGCCGGAGGGTCCCGCAGAGACTCCAGTCCTGGCCGGCGGGGCTCAGGCCTCAGCCAAGTGTCTTCACGGCTCTGTGCCTCAGTTTCCCCTTTGCGGGAGGACAAGCTGCAGCCTCGGTAATTCACAGCTCTCCCCGGAGCACCCCACAGCCCTGGCACGCCCTGTCAGTGGACTCCGAGCCCTCTGGCCTCCCTCACCCCTGCCTGACACCGCCAGGTAGCTCTCCGGAGAAGCCTGTGAGCTGGGGCATGTGACGCGGCGTGTCCACCACCCACACCTCGGCTCCGTCATCCGTCGGTCCCCGTCATCTGTCGGTCCCTGTCATCTACTGGTCCGTCTGTGCTGTGATTGGGAGGAGACCAGGCAGGGTCACTAGCCTTTCCCCTGGAACTGGGGGTAGCCCCGTCGGAGAGGGAGGGTCCGGTGAGGTGCCGCTTGGGGTGGGGGCCCACACTGGCCGTCGTCTTCCCCCATGGGGGGACCGGTGGGGAGGGTGGGGACGCAGAACTCCTGGGGCCTCGGGCTGAGCACATACCACGCCCACGATCAGGGGGATCAGCTCTGCTGGACAGAGTGCTGCTGTCCCCAAGTGATGGTCTGGGTGGCAGCGGTCGTGGGGTCCCTAGGAGGTGGTTATGAGTGGCCGCCCGAGAGGCGAGATGGGAGGGGCAGGGGTCCGCACAGAGCCCCCCGTGGGAACTGGTGTCCCCACCAGGATGATGTCCACTGCGGAGAATAAAGACGACCCTGACCCTGGGACAAAAGAACCCCCCGGCCTGGCTGCAGAAAGGGGGCATTTGATGAGGACGTGCCACGTCGGGTGACCCCACTGTCCAGCTGAAAGTGTGGAGTCCCTGGGGACTCCGGAGGGTCCTGCCAAGAGCCAGGAGGGAGAGGAAAGAGGGGCCACTTCCACCCTCCGCTGGAGAAGGCCACGTGGGGGCCCCAAGAGGCTGGAACAGGGACCCTTGGAGGCTGCGGGGAATGTTAGGGGTGGGCTGGGCCTGGCTGGGCCCAGGCACCATCCCCCCTGGCCCCTGTGCCATGCTGCAGGTCCTGTGCATTTTAACTGGGGTCCTCTGTTACACCTCACCCAGCCTTTGGGGCCAGTTGTGTCTGGACTGTAATTGCCCCCGGCCCTGAAGGAAGGGGTCCCACCTGGAGGAGGCTCTGGGGTGCACCCCAATGTGCCGGCAGCCCCGGGCGGGGGGAGGTCAGGGCTCCCTGTGGCCCAGTGGGGGCCTGGGTTTGGGGGGGTTTCCAGGCCGTTGCTGAATGTCTCCCTTTCCCTCTGAAGCAGGGGACGCCTCTACGCCACACTGGGGCCCAACTGGCGGGTCCCCGTTCGGAATTCCCCCCGGACCCGGAGCTGCGCCTACAGGTGGGTGCAGCCCAGGGGGCAAAGCGGACGAAGCTCGGGGCATTGGGCAGAGAGGGAAAGGCTGGCACTGCCCAGTGGTGGTGGTGGGGGGGAGAAGTTGAGGGGGCCGAGACTGGCCAGGTGTATGCGCCCGAGGACACGATGGCCGATTCCTTAAAGGACACCAGTGGAGCCAGGGATGGGGGCGACACGACCAGGTGGACCGGACCGGACCGGACCGGACCGTGCGGAGAATAGTCAGGAAGGAGGGGAGAGGGCGGGGGAGGGGAGGGGCGCTGGGGTGGGTTGGTAGGAGGAGGGCAGGGAGCACAGGGAGGAGGATCCAGCCATGTGGGCAGGTGCGAGACCCTGGCAGAGCACTTAGGGCTTGGTGTTGCCTGGGTGGTGGGACTGTGGCGCGGTTGGAAGCTCGGTTTGGTGACTCCCGCGGGGACTGGAGGGGACGGGGCAGCTGGCGGGGGCCCAGGCGCGCCCCTGGGACGGGGGTGCACTTGGACGTCATCACCGACAGGTGGCGCCCGACCGGTGCTGGGGGCACGGAACCCCCAGCCCCCCGCCCCTTCCCTCCTGCCGGCCCCAGGGACCTCCCTGCTCCCGTGGGCTCAGGACCCCAGACCCCGGGGCATGGGTGGGGAGGGCGCCCCCCGAGGCCCGGTGGGAGCCGGGCCAGAGGCGTCGGTCCAGCCGGGGCTCGGCCTTGCGCAGTGGGCTGCGGGCCGCGGGGGGCGCCCGGCCCCGTCCCGCACCCGGGGGCGTCGGTCTGAGCCCCCCACCCTTTCCCCGCAGCCCCACGGGTCCCTGCATCTGCGCGCTGGGCAGCTCGGTGGCGGCGCCCACCATGGAGGGGCCGCTGAGGAGGAAGACGCTGCTCAAGGAGGGCCGCAAGCCCGCGGTGAGTGCGGCGTCCAGTCGGCCGGGTGCGACTCCCACGCTGCGCCGGGGACACGCAGGGGAGGCCACGCAAGGGGGCCCGGGCGCCCCCAAAGCGCCCCGCGCCGCAGCCCTGCAACGCCGGGCTCGGCCGCTGGGGGCGCTGGGGGCGCAGGTTGCGCGCTGGCCCCCGCCCGGGACCCCCGAGCCCGAGCCTCCCTCCCTCTCCCACCAGGACGGCGGCCCCCCCGAGCAGCGTGGGGGCGGGAAAGACAGTCGAGGCCGTTCTCTGGGGGTCCGGCCACGAGGACCGGGTCTCAACCCCCCCTCCACCCCACAGGCAGCCTTCCCCGACCTGAGCTGGGGGTCCCCGCGTCCCGGCCCCAAGCACGGGGGACCAGTGCTGCACCTGCACCCCTGCCCAGCTTCCCCGGGGCTCCCTCGAGGAGAGGGTGGGCTGGAGCGCAGGCCTACCAGGCAGCACCCACCCACCCACCCACTCACTCACCCATCACTCTGCCTCCTGCCTCCGCAGCTGTCCTCGTGGACCAGGTATTGGGTCATCCTCGCGGGGTCCACCCTCCTGTACTATGGGGCCAAGTCCCTGCGGGGCACAGACAGAAAACATGTAAGTCTGGAATAAGGGCGCTCCTGGGGGCACGCGGCGGAGCGAAGCCTGGAGAGGCGGGGGTGAAAGGTGTGACCTTGAGGGGCGGGGCCTGGCCCCCGAGGGGCGGGGCCAGAAAGGGAGAGGCTGGAACAGGTGTGGCCAGGAGGGGTGGGGGCGGGGCCTGAGCATCCCTGGAAGACCTAGGTAGCCGCCCACCTGCTCTGGGGTGCAGAGAACACAGCCCGGCTCTATCTTTGCTGCCCTTCAGTACAAATCCACGCCTGGCAAAAAGGTCTCCGTCGTGGGCTGGATGGTGCAGCTGCCTGACGACCCAGAGCACCCGGACATCTTCCAGCTGAATAACCCTGACAAAGGTAGGCAGTGCCCAGTGCACCCTACTCTGCAGAGGTCAGCAACCTCCCAACCCCACCGCTCTGGAGCTGGGGGGTCTGCATCTCACCCCACCCTAGCGCCTCTTCCGTGCGTTTGTGCCTTCGGGGCCCCCAGGAACCTTGGAAGCAGCTGCTCTTCCTCTGACTTGGCCTCCAGGAGCCCACAAAAGTGGCTTTGTTTGTGGTTCCTTGCTGGGAGACAGCAAGACCACCTCATGCCTGCAGGACCCCTCTGTGACCTCACCTCTGGCCCTGAGGGTTGCACCCTAAAGCACATGGCGGTGCAGGAAGGCCGTGCCCCGCAGCTGGAGGGTGCCAGGGACACCCCTTCATTGCCTGTGCTGAGAGTCCGGAAGGAGCTTTCAGCCAAAACCCCAACCAGGCCTCCCAGTTCCTTCCGGCTCCGGCTTCTCACCCGCTGCCATTAAAGGCCAGACTGGGGAGGTAGGGAGGTGCTGACCCCCTCCTGCCCAGGAGCCCTGATACCCTCAAAGGCCTTGCTGGTGTCTCCTATCTCAGAACAAGGTTCCCCATTGCCCGAGTCTTGGATTTTTGCCTGGGTCTTGGATCAGGGCCCAAGGCTGAGGACACCTGAGCCCCTCGACTCGGCCCCCGTAACATCCGAGGGCTTCTCAGGCCACTGGGCACTCGTGAAAACTCGCAGTGGGCTTCAGAGGAAGGGGAGTTCCTCACCTACCATTTCTTTTTCTTTTTATTTTTTCACTTTTTGGGTCACACCCAATGATACCCAGGGGTTCCTCCTGGTTCTGTGCTCAGGAATTATTCCAGGCAGTGCTCGGGGGATTATGTGAGATGCTGGGGGTTGAACCTGGGTCAGCCACGTGCAAGGCAAACACCCTACCCACTGTACTATCACTCCAGCCCCACCTCCATTTATTTTTTATTTTTAATTTTTGACTTTATTTAAACACCATGGTGTACAGAGTTGTTCGTAATACAGTTGTTACAGCCTTTTAATGTTCCAACACCAATCCCCCTCACTCTTTTCCCTTTTTTCCAAGCCTTCCACCTCAGCAAGCACACAGTAATTTGTGTGTGTGTATGTGTGTGTGTGTGTGTGTGTGTGTGTGTGTGTTTGGCTTTTTGGTTCACACCGGGGATGTTCAGGGGTCACTCCTGGATCTGCACTCAGGAATCACTCCTGGCAGTGCTCAGGGGACCCTATGGGATGCCGGGGATTGAACCCAGGTCGTCCATGTGCGAGGCAAACACCCTACCCACTTTACTGTCGCTCCGGCCCTAGTGATTTGTTTTTTGTATGTTGCTTGTTGCAACCAAATGGCTAAAGGAATTATCAGGAATACTTCTGGGAGAGCCTGGCAAACTACCGAGAGTATCTCGCCGGCCCGCCAAAGCCTGGCAAGCTACCCGGGAGTACTCAATATACCAAACACAGTAACAAGTCTAATAGTGTTACTGGGCCCACTCGAACAAATCGCTGAACAATGGGAGGATAGGACAGTGACAGTGACTTCAGTAAAAGAAAATTTATGAAAATTGTTCAGTTTCACCACGAGGTTGTTGAATCTGTCTGAGGATTTAATAAGCTGTTCATGGCTAGTTGAGCCTTCTGTGTTACTGTTTTTGTTTGTGAGTTTAGTTGGCATCTCTGTTCCTTCCCATCTAATTTGGTGTGCTCCAGTTGCTACTGGAATTTCAGTACCGTGCAAGTTGGAGGTGTTGGATGGCCCTGTGTGTGGCTTCCTGCTCCAGAATCTTCGGGTCTGTACGCCTGGGATGAATCTGTGGAGATTCTTAGTGAAGCCTTGGAGTGTGGGTGTGGCTGCACTGTCCCCTCCTGCGGGTGCCCCAGAGTTTTCAGCTGGGGTGGGGGGACAGTGTGTCCACTGAATTTCAGTTGCGTGGCTTGCATCTCCTCAGAAGTTTAGTTTGTGATTCTGAAGGGCGGGCCCAGCGGGTGAGTCACACTGGCCCACCGTTTCTTGTTCTTTTCTTTCCTTTTTTTGTTTTTTTAACATTTGGGAAATTTTGCACATATTTTCACTTTCATTGATTTATTTATTTTGCTTTTTGGGTCACACCCGGCGATGCTCAGGGGTTACTCCTGGCTCTGCACTCAGGAATTACTCCTGGCAGTGCTTGGGGGAACCCAATGGGATGCCGGGGATTGAACCCGGGTTGGCCGCATGCAAGGCAAACACCCTACCCACTGTGCTATGGCTCCGACCCCTGGTCCACCATTTTTTTTTAATGTAGAAATATTGCTATTTATTAGCCATTGATTAGGCTGATTGAATTGAGCATGAACTCCACCTTACTTTATTTTTTTTCCTTTTTTAATAAATTTATTTATCGAATCATCGTGAGAGCAGTTCCAAAGCTTTCAGGTTTAAGTCTCGGTCATACAGTGATGAAACACCTGTACTTTCACCTCTGCCCATTTTTCACCACCAAAAACCCCAGGACACCCCCCATCCCACACCCTCCCCCTACCTGTGGGTGGCCCACCATTTCTAATATGCTTGTAGACCACTCCAGAGCTGCTCTCAGCCAGGGACCGCTCGAGTGTGTGAGGTCTGGGGTCTGAACTGGGAAGTAGGGTCCCACAAGGCCTAGGGGCAGACCGCAGGAGGAGGGGCTGATGGTCTGGCCCGACCCATTGGGGTGTCTAGTCCCCGCTCAGCCTCTCTGCCACTCTTCCCCAAGGCCCTGGGCCTGAATCCGCGATGCTGCTTTGGGAAGGAAAAACCATGCTAACCCAAACTCGGTTGAAGGATCTGATGGTTGGGGGGGGAGGGGGCAGGGAGGAGGGCACCCAGGCCACTCCCCAGGCTTCATCCCAGAGGACAGTATTGTCCCTAAGCAGCGGGCATGTGCCACCAGGCTAGCCAGGCCATGGTCCACATAAAAGCGTGTCAGGGTCTGGGAATGCAGTCTCCTTCACTGTGTGCGTCATAAATGTCTGGAGTGTTCACTGCATCTGTGACTTGATGTCGCAGGAGATCCTTTCCCCCTCCTGTGCTGCTGCATCGTCCCTCTCAGCTCTTTGGGTCCCCGCCCCCACCCTCCCTCCAGCCTCAGCCTGCCCCTCGAAGGCACTCGAGCTCTCGAGCATGGGCAGCAGGTGGAAGTTCGAGGATGCTGACGGCTGTTTCCTTTGTGCCTGTGAAAGGTCCTTCTGAGCAGGGCTGCCTCGGTGTGGAAGAGGCTCCCTGCACCCGCCCCCGCCCCCACGTGTGGGTCCCTGGGCCAGAATCACCCAGGCCTGGGAGGTAGCCGGGCTGCCCTGCCCACTCAGCTGCCCCCCCCCGTGCCCCCTGACCTTCCTGCCCAGCTGCAGGCCCAGCCTCTCTGCACCCGCTCACCCGCTGCTTCTCTGCCCGGCAGGCAATGTTTACAAGTTCCAGACCGGCTCTCGCTTCCACGCGATACTCTGGCACAAGCATTTGGACGACGCATGTAAAAGCAACAGGCCTCAGGTAAAGTCACATGCACCCCGCTCAGCTCCCCCGAGCCCCTTCCCTCCAAGGGCCCTGAGGACACGGGGCTCCAGCCTTCCCTTCCCTCCCGCGTGTCCCCCAGACAGAACTTGGTTTAAAGCTAAGCTGCCTTGGGGGCTGGAGCGATAGTACAGCGGGGAGGGTGTTTGCCTTGCACACGGCCCACCCGGGTTCAATCCCCAGTATCCCATAGGGCTCCCCTGAGCACTGCCAGGAGTGATTCTTGAATGCAGAGCCAGGAGGAACCCCTGAGCATTGTCAAGTGTGACCCACTGTCACTGTCACTGTCCTCCTATTGTTCATGGATCTTGCTCGAGCAGGCCCAGTAACATTGTGAGACTTGTTACAGTGTTTGCATATCGAACACTCACTGGGTGCTCAAAAAGCAGAAACAAAACAAAACAAAACAACTAAGCTGCCTTGATATTTAGAATCTGCTCCCTTTCAAAGGAAATACCATCACAGCAGACACTGGGAGGTGGCAGGTGCCACTTGGCCCCGGGGATCAGGGTCCAGCTTTTGCTTGGACCATCCCCCTAAAGTCAATCCCACGGGAAGCCTCCAGCCAAAGACTGATTCCGTCCCCCTCCTCCTCCGCACTAATAGCGTTAGCTCCGTGCAGCCCGCAGCAGTGGACAAGACCCTTGTCCTGCTTGTGCCAGCGCGACCTTGGCTGCTGGCCTGGCTCAGGGTTCCTTCCTCTGCACACGCTGCCTTCGACTCAGTTACTATTCCACGTGCTTTCCTTGCAGGAACTGGCCGCCTCCTCCCAATGGGAGGTAAGTTCCCAGACACCCCCAGTTCTCCCGGAGGCCACTGAGGCTTGGATTGTGGCTGGCACCAGCTCTAGGTGTCACCGGGTGGGACTCGGGGCAGCCTGACTCCAAACTTGTGCCCACCACCCCTCTGCTCCCCTGGCTCTCTCGGCCTGGCAGCCCAACTGGGGCAGAGAGAGGAACCCCCCAGCCCTGCCTGTGTTCCCCGGGAACCAGAAGAGGAAGCTGGGGAGTTTGGCCCTTCCAGTCTCGGGCGAGAGCACTGGGCCTGGAGGAGCTTCATGCGGCTCCTGGGGAGCTCAGGAGGGCTGTGGGTCAGAGATCCCACAGGGAACTTTGCCAGAGTGAGCCTGGGGCGGAGGGCCAGGGCAGGGATCAGCACCCCTTCCCCTCCCCATCCTTGGGATGCGAGGGACCCCAGAGCTCTGCACTCAGAGGGCCACTGTCCCACAGACGAGAGAGCACACGGCCACGCTCAGCAACTGAGTCAAGAAAGCAGATGCCCAGGAGTAAATATTATTCGGAGTCAATCAACTCCCAAGTTACAAAGCATAATATTAACTGTCTTCCTGTGTCCATACAGAAAGGACATTGCTTTAAGGCAAACTATGCAAAAGACATTAATTTACAGTACAAGTTCAGTGTCCTTAGAAGGATCTGATCTTACAAGCTAACAGAATCTGATTAGGGAGAAAAGGTGATTAGCCTTTGGGGAGGAGAGCACAGAGAAGAGTTTACAGATAAACAGAGGAATGGGAGTGACTCGGGAGCACTGTGATGGGTGTAACCCGATAAACCTAAGCTCCCTGTGGCAAGGGAGAAAGGACAAAGCAGTGTTCTCTTACAGGGCCCCTCAAGACCTGGCAGGGGATAGGAAGCCAGAGGCAGAGCTGGGGGCTGGGGTGTGGGTGGAAACAGCGCGTGGAGCCTGGAAGGGGGATGGCACTCCCCTCCTTGGGCAAACGCCTTCGTAGCAGGAAGACCAGGCCTGGGCCGACCAACCGTGGCCTCAGCTGGCGCTGGGCAGGGAGGAGGGCCCGAAGTGCCAGGCTTCATGCGAGGGAGCAGATCCTGCCCTGAAATGGCCCCGGGCAGGGCCGGGTGCCTGGGTTCCCCCTGGGGTGGGGGTGGGGGATGGGGGCCACAGCCCCACCAAGCAGAGCTGGCGTTTGGCAGGGGACAGACAGAGTCAGTGGCGCACCTTGGCGACTCGAAGGCATTTTTCATTCCGTGTTCAGCCCTAGAGGAGGGAGCCCCATTTTTTTTGCTTTTGGGGTCACACCTGGCGATGCACAGGGGTTACTCCTGGCTCTGCACTCAGGAATCACTCCTGGCGGTGCTCAGGGGACCATATGGGATGCTGGGAACCGAACCCGGGTCGGCCGCGTGCAAGGCAAACGCCCTCCCCGCTGTGCTATCATTCCAGCCCCAGGGAGCCCCGTTTTCTGCTGTTTCCGCTGCGTTTCCAATTCACTCCTCATCACCTCTTTCTGCTCGGTGCTGTAGCTGCATCTGGGTGGGACAGGGGAGCAGAGGATTTCAGTCAACTGCCATGCCCCAAAACGGCCCACAGGGGGGCGCAAGGAACCGCATCACCAGAAAGCATCTCTGGTGCTTTGTGGAATCGCATCAGTGCTCAGAATAGATTTTGCTAACACCGTCCACACTTACCCCACACAGGCAACAGCTGTGGAGATATTAACAGCAGCAGCAGCAAACACCCTGTACCCACCACCCAGCCTGCAAGGCCCCAGGGCCTTGGAACACGCCCCCCCTTCCCTACCTCCCCCACCCCACCCCAGAGACACACACACACACACACACACACACACACACACGCGCTGGTCTCTGCCTGATCCGTCTCTCTCCTGCCCGGCTCCTCGCCTCCCTCCTTTTCTCATCCCTCCTTGAAATGTGGGCACCTGCGTTGGATTCTTCAATGCCGTCTCTGGGCATACTTTCGTTTTGTTGTTCCAACTCGTCGTCGTAAACAGAGCAGACACCTGTCTTTGCTCCTGTGACTTGCCTGTCCCTGTGGTCTGTCCGTGTACCCTGACCAGGCCCGCGGCTGTCCCTGGCCTTTCTTTGTCCTGGAATCTTTTGGTTTTCCTTCCCTTCGGGGGCCACACCCTGAGGTGCTCCTGGCTCTGTGCTCAGGGATCACTCCTGGAGGGCTGGGGTGGACGGGGAGCCAACCAGTGGGGTGCCGGGGACCGAACCCAGGTCGGACACACGCAAGGCAAATGCCCTACCCATTGCACTACCTTGCCAGCTCTGTCCTCGCAGCGTTTTGACCCCTCCCGGCGTCGGCAGCTTGAGCAGGGCTGTGCCACTGTATTCCTGTCCTGTCCTGGTGAGGACACTCGTCTCCAGCTCCATACCCTGCCCAGGGATGATCCTCAGATCTCCTGGAGCGCTGAGCAGCGCTGGAGTTGGAGGCCTGGAACTGAGCCGGGGGCTGAGGGGGTGGTCACAATATCATCACGGATCAAACATCCAGGGACGGGTGGTCTCCTGCCCCATCCCACCCCAAAGGGAGCTGGGGTCTTGTCCTCGGGAGACAGTTTTGGGAAGATCGTGGGATTCCCAGCCTGCCCAAACGTCCCCCTTATTCCGGGTGTCTCCTTGCCCGTGCCCACCGCCCTCTGCCCACCCTCTCTTTTCTTGCCGAGGTTCTCGCTGGCACCCCACGGTCTTCCCGCTGCCCCGGCCATGCTGTACTTCGCCCCCTCTGTCAGCCTCAGTTTCTCCACCTGCCTCCCCTGGGGGGGAGGGGGGACGGACTTAGGAATGGGAGGTTCTTGGCATAAAGACGGTCTGGAGTGGGGGCCTGGCACCCGGCGGCCCCTTTGGCAAGCTCAGGAAAGGCCCGCTCCTCCTCTCTGCATCCCTCCCCCGGCCCCTCCGCAGAGAGGGGACACTGACCAGAGACCGAGCCTTCTCTTCCAGGTACCGGCGAACCTCATGTCCTTTGAGTAAGACTCTGCGGGACGCGACGTGACTCCAGAGGCGCCGGGAGCCCTGCCTGGGCAGGGTGGTGGCGCGTCTGTCCGGGCACAGGCTGCGGTGGGCTGGAGCGCTGGGAGACCCACAGCCAGGCCCACAGGCTCGCGGGCCACGGCCTCACCGTCCAGAGAACCCCGCGAGAGCCGGATCCTCCCACCCGCCCGCCCACCCCAGTGACGCTCACGACACTTCCACAGCACGGAGGGGCCGTGGCTGGACCCCCCAGACTGTGTCGGCCCCTCACCCGTCCGCCCTCCCCCGGGCCCTCACCCATCTACCAGCTGCAGCTGCTATACCTAGAGGGCCGGCAGCCCACTGGGTGGCCAGTGCTTCCCACTGCACGGAAGCACAGACCATGCCCCCCTCGCCCCCCGTGTCCGAGGGGCCCGTGAGAAGGGATGAGCTGTGCAACTGGCTTTTTGCACCCCAAGGTGCACGGGGTTGCTCACCCCCACCTCCCCGGGCCATCTCTGACGCTGTCCGACTCCCGATGTGCCCTCCGCAGGGGCATGCCACGTGCATACGAGGGAGCAGGAGCGAGCAAGAACTCTTGGAGAAACATGCATTTTGGCACCAGACTCGGGACATCACACATTCATCCGCTTTGAGGCCCCGCTGGGCCCTCCGGAGAAGGCTCGGGGCGCCAGGAAGGCCCGAGGGAGCGCCCGGCTTCCTCCCGCGGGGGGCCCATGTGTTCTTTTACTGTAACAAACTATGCCTTAACGTGTCTCGTTTTCTGTTCCTATGGGTGCTATTCATCCGGAAGGCTTGCGGCCCGGGCCCCCGGGCCCCTCCCAGGCCTGGTCGCCGTCAGCTCTCTGAGACAGGACCAGCTGCGGGACTGTGGACCCGGCCGCCGGCCTGCTTGCTCCATTCCCCCTCTCCTGCCCTCTCCCACCAGGCCAGGATGGCAAGTTGGGACCTTTCCCCTGCCCGCCCCCGCAGCCGCGCAGAGGCCCCCAGGCTCGCAGCGAGGGGCCGGCCACTGGGGTGTTCCGTCGTACCCTCCCCGCGCTGCAGGTCCAAGCTTCGTTCCATCCTCTCAGCCCTTCGCTTCCACTGCCAGGGCGGGGCTCGCTGGGGTTCCTGATTACACCAGGGAGCTGAGTGACATTGAGGCCTTAGGCCCCCCCATCCCCAGTCTTGCCCCCAAACACGGTCACCAGCAAGTTCACCATCACCCGGGTCCCTGAGCATAGTGTTCAATGACGGAGAGCAAAGCCCCAGGGCGAATGTCCGGGCTCTGTGTCCAGCTAAGGGCGCGTCAAGGAACCGCGTCTTTATCAGTCACTCTCCTATTTTCAGTGACTTTCATTTTGCACAAATACATTTTTGTTCCATAGAGTGAATAAAAATGAACTATGGGAACTTTTATCTCATAGCTTCTCTCTCCTCTCTCTCTCTCTCTCTCTCTCTCTCTCTCCCTCGCAGATGGTTCCCCTAATTCTCAACCCTTGTCATTAACATGGCCTCAGAGGTCAGGCAACAACATCCCCCCCGGCCCCCAGCCGCAAGCCCCACGCTACTGCCCCAGTTTGGGGGTAGGATACTTTCAACCAGCCTCTTCGCCAGGAAAATACTAGGTCCAAAAACAAAAGAAGAAAAAAAAAACCAGGAGACTATATCACAGTCAAATGGCCTGTATCGCGCTGTACCGCCATCAGATGGTGATGACTTTCTGGAACGATCGGGCGACGTGGTAGGGAAGGAAGGTGTCTGCAGAGAACCACCTCATGGGCGGGTCTTGAGGTCCTGCTGGGGAATGCAGCTCATTTGCATAAAGACTAAAAGACTCTTGTGCCAGGACAAACTCTCTACTTGCTGATGTTGACGCGGCCAGACTGGCCACAGATAGTTTACACGGCCCCAGGCCTACCTAGACATGTCCCCAATTCATAACAAGTCTAGAGGCTGAGTGAAAGCAATTACCCCGACACATTTAGGCAGAGCCATTGTGTGTGTGTGTGTGTGTGTGTGTGTGTGTGTGTGTGTGTGTGTGTGTAGGCAGGGGATGGGGGGGCTGGGGAATCAATGCTTTTACCTCCGTTGAATCTGATTCTACCTGTTCGTATTTTGTTGAAGCCTTGGTTTCCTTGAAAGTCTGAGAGGGAGACTTCAGTTCCTTATTTCCTTTGGGTTTCTCCATTCTTCCAACGGTTTTCCTCAAATCAAGTCTTACCGATGCCAAATCCCAAACCCTCCAAATTTCAGGCTCCGCTCAATCGGATCACTTTCTGCCCTTTACCAATGTTCCTTCTCCCTGAAAACGAGTGTTTTCTCCTGAGCCTCATTCTGAAAGAGCACAATCCCATTCCCCCCAAAATGTTGAATTAGTTCCCCATCGTAGTGGGTCCCAGCAGCCCTTCCCGGACACATGCTTAGCTCGGACTCTGGAGGAATCTGTTTAGTCTTCGTGAGCAAAAGCCTTATGGAACAAAGAAGTCCGTGGAACATTCCGGCAGAGTCCTGGTGACAGTGGGGTGAGAAGAAGCACTCACAGCCATGCTTGCGAGAGAGGTGTGAGCTGCCTGCACCTCTCCGAGCTTGGGGCCCCCGGAATAGGCATCAACCCCACAGGGCAAACAAAGTCTAGGGTGCGTTGCCCCCTGGGTGAGGCACTTCCAGCCTCTGCTCCTCGACCACCCATATTGAACAAATGCTTGTGCCACCCTCAAAGGTGGCAAATCTGGCATATACATTCTGTATCTTTTTTTTTAAAGCAAAGAAGGCACCCCATGATAAAAATGGCAGAATGTTGCCGACAGAAGGGGGTTAGGCTTCCTAGGAACCTTCAAAAGGCTCCCTCCCCTTGGTGGAACTCAAGGCAGGCCAGTGTCCGTGCATTCTGACAATTGAAACCCTGCGTGGAGGACTGACCGGGCACAGAGCAGAGGAACCCTTGATCCAAGGGGGCCCAGGCTGCACTATAGAAGCTACTTGAAGAGATTCTGCGTTCAGAAAGAACCCACTCTTGTGCCAACTGAACCGATAAGACATTGTTTTTGTTTTGTTTTCTTACCAAGATGGCCAGTATTTCTTTTCCTCACCTTCCTCCACCTCCCAAACCCCAGGCATCTAGTCGACGCTGTTGAATGCCCCCAGAGGGGGAAGCAAGCAGGGTGGGCTTCACTCACGCAGCGTGTGAAGCTCCCTGCTCCCTGCGTGCTGCCGACACTGCATCTCACCAGGGAATGCTGCTCTGACTCCGTGTGTGACTTGGCTCCGCCCCACGCTGGGTAGATTTTGTGTTCAGAGAAGAAAAGCCAGAACCACTCCCAACACTACTTACAAGTGTCCCTTGGGAGAACAGGTTCTCAGCACGTACATACCACCCATTCATCTCCTCCATCATTCGTGCACCTCTGTAGGGAGTGTTTCTGGCAGACCACACTCCGCCTGAGACATCAGTGGCCGAGAGCAAGACGGGTCCAAGTCCTGACCTGGCTGAGCTGACCACAGAGCGAACGAATCCTCAGCACCCACCTGTTCTCTCCTCGAACTGGGCCAAACCAAGGCCAACGTTTCCCAAAAGGCGAAGCAAGTTCCATGGCAGTGAGGAGCAGAAGGCCCTGACCAGCGGAGCAGCGCACAGGCCTGGCGCACAGCGGGTTCCCCAAGTGGAACGTGAGCGAAAGACCAGAGCGACACAGTATCTAGTGCAAAGGTGGTTTGTGTCTTCATTTCCTTTCAAAACACAAGTCTTGAGCGTGCAAGAGCCACGGCTTCTAGAGGTTGAGAGCTTGGCCTGTAGCCCACCCACAGGTGTCTGTGGCACCAGCGCGTGGCCCTGAGGTGACCCCAAAATATCGACGCGCAGCACCGCCTCGAGAGACTAGCTCTCCACTCTCCAACCATTTGTCTCTTCGTTCAAATGACGGACCATTTCCGCCAGGAAACAGTGGTAGTTCATTGATCAGTATGGTATACTCCGTCACAGATCTCGTGCCAAAATGCATGGTTTTCCACTTAGCATTCGAAACGTTGCATAGAGAGTAGTTTTCAATTTCTTACCTATTCTTCAGAGTAAGTTGAAAATTGGTTTCTACATTTGAATTCTTGTTTCTTGTTCAATGTGTCGCGATCTCCCGGGCTGTCTTCCTTCTCCCCTGCCTCCCCACGCCCCAGTAGATCCCTTGCATGCCGTTGCGTGAAGACTCTCAAATTCCTGTGAATTGTCTCACCCACAGTAACCACTGGACATCAGCCCTCCCACTGTGGGGTTCTTTAGATTTTTTGGTGAAGCATTTTGTTACCTCAGTCTTGTATCGAGTTGCTGTATTTTTTCAGCTTGTTACACTGATAATAATTGTTTCACTGATTAAATACTTTAATGTACAAACATCTTTGTTTACTTTGAAATTAAATGTGTTTTCCAATGAATACGGCTTAATCTTATTCAAGTTTGTGTGAGAAAAAAGGAAGCATGGGGCACTCAGATCCCAGCTGAGAGGTTTCTAGAACCTCGGGGCAGATCGGGGCCATCAGCCCTGTGTCAGCGACTGTGCTGTGGTCACTCAGGAGGGAGGAAAAATCTGGGGAGTTGTTAATGGGGAGGGGCATTTTAATTTATTTTATTTTTTAAGGGAATATATATATTAATTTTTTTTTGCTTTTTCGGGGGGGGTCACACCCAGCGATGCACAGGGGTTACTCCTGGCTCATGCACTCAGGAAATCACTCCTGGCCGTGCTTGGGGGACCATATGGGATGCTGGGAATTGAACCCGGGTCGGCCACGTGCAAGGCAAATGCCCTACCCGCTATGCTATCACTCCAGCCCCCTATATATTAATTTTTTAATGAAACACCGTGAGATAGTCACACTTTAGTGATTATGTTTCAGTCATACAATGGTCGAGTACAAGGAGGGCATTTTAGAGATTCATTTCTCTGAAGATATGAAGGCAAGGGTGGGAGGTCCGGGAGGTGGAAGGGGAAGAGGATGAGGTTGGAGAAAGACGCCAAGCCAGTCTCGTAGGGAAAAAAGGTCTTGGGTGAGTATTGGAACCCATTACCGAGATTCAATCTGGAAAGTTCTGTTGGACAGGGAGGGTTCAGGTGTGAGGACATATGCACCTGATGGAGATGCAGTCAACCCCCAGCTCCCCGCTGAGTGATGCTGGAGGTCCCACAGAGCCTAAGCGGAAGTGCATCCTCGGTCCACGCACTGAACCCCTGTCCAATTGGCTAGATATATTCCCCCCATCCCCGAATACTGCTTGGGATCCTCATCCCACTGAAAGAAAGATAAGATATCAGAGGGAATTTGTTGTTCGTGTGTGTGTGTGTGTGTGTGTGTGTGTGTGTGTCAGAGGGCGAGGGTTTGGCCACACCCAGTTGCTTCTTGACTCTGTGCTCAGGGATCACTTCTGACAGAGCTCGGGGAGTCGTATGTGGGTGCTGGGGATTGAACCCAGGTCAGCCACACTCTCCAGACAGCCTCTCGACAGAACCAGGCCCCATCAGGACAACAGCCGAAGTCACAGAAGGTGGCTGTGCCAGGGCGTATGATATGATCTCAGCTGACTCTGACCTGAGTGCCTCAGTTTCCCAGCTAGTGTCTTCCAACTGCAGCAGCCCAGTTGCCAAGCACTGCCCCTCCACCCCCTGCCTCCCATATACTCTGCAGACCCTGCTCCTGCTCCAGCAACCCCTTTTCTCCGGCAAGCCCCAAGCCCCACCTGCTACCCGCTTAGGTGAGGAAGATGGCAACGGTGACCCTGGCTTGACCAGACGAGGCGGACGGTGGGGTGTAGTGGTGGTCACACCGCTGGAAAGCCGCGATTGGTGGCCTCCCAAGCCTCACCCCTCAGCCTCTCTGAGTCAGGGGGTCGCAAACGGCTCTGAGGAGGCAGCAGTGCCTCTTGCAGACCTCGGCGAGACTCGACTCGCGATCTAGCGCGCTCGGTGGGAAGTTTAGACTCTGAGCCTGCTACCTGGCTCTGCGGACCTGGGTGCCCGGGAGGCGAGGGCGAGGGCGTGGCCGAGGGGCGTGGTCTAGGGGTGGGCGGGGCGCTCTGTGGGCGTGGCCAAAGCGTGGGCGGGGCGGGGAGTAAGCGCGGACTCGCAGGGGACCTGTTGGAAGCGAAAAGGCGCGGGTTAGCTTGCGGCCGGGACCTGCGGTAGGCGGCCCCCCCACCCCTTCCCCGAGACGAAGGGAACCGTGTTACGCTCGGAAGAGCGAGGAGAGCGAGGGGTACTGAGGTACGGAGGGGCAGGGCCGCGAGGGGGTAGGTGAGTGGGGCCTGGGCCTGTGCAGAGGGGCAGGAGTGGGAGGAGCGGACCCTGCGCCGGAGCGAGGTGAAGACAGAGCGGGTGTTCGGGGCTGAGAACTGAGCCGAGGGGCCCGGAGCCAGCCCGCGTCGGGAAGCCCGCAGGGCCGGCGCCGGGGGCGGGGCCAGAGCCTGGGGGCGTGTCCTGGGCGGGGCTTGGGCCTGTTCGAGGGGTTGGAAGCCGACCGGACTGAAGTTCGGGGCGGGTCTGGGGTGGGACTTGCCTCCCGGCTCTAGGGCGCGGGGTGGGCGGGGCTGAGTCGCGGGGCGGGGCGGGGGCGGGGCCTCGGCCTCTCTGAGGGGCGCGCGCCGCGCTGCGCTGGGCTTCGGGGCGGGGCCGGGGCGGGGCCGGGGCCGGGCGAAGGCGCGCGGGGCGGGGCGCGGGTTGCGGCGCGCGAGCCGAGCGGCCGGCCGAGCCCCGCCGAGGCCCGAGCCCACCCGAGCGCGCCCGAGCCCGCGGCCCCCGCCCGGGGCGATGGAGCCAGAGCCCGGCGGGGCGGCCGCGGCGCTCCTGCGGCAGAAGAGGGCGGCGTTGCGGCGCAGGGGGTGCAGCTTCGAGAGCCCCAGGTACCGCCAGCGCGGAGGGGCGCGGCCGGGGAGGGGCGGGAGCGGGGAGCCGGCCACGTGCGGGCCGGGGGCTGGGGGCGGCGCCCGGGGGGCTCGTGGGGCCGCCGAGGCTCGGACGGAGCCCGGCGGCGACCCCCGGCGGAGCGCGGCGGGGGCGGGGGCGGGGGTGCCGCGGGGGGGCGCGGGCAGGGGCGCCCCGGAGCGGAGCCGGGAGTGTCGGGGATCCCGCCCCGCGCCCGCCGGGCTGGGGGGCGAGCGCCCCCGCCTGCCGCCGCCCCCGGCTCAAGGGCAAGGTCGGCGCGGAGCCCCCCGCGGACCCGGGAACCGCCCCGCACACCTGCTGCCGCCCGCGGACTCGGGCTGGGGGGCGCGTGGACTCGCCACCGCGTCGCTCGGGTCGACCCCCGGCCCCGCCGCAGCCCGCCGCCGCCTTGCTGCAGACGCCCGCGGGCTCGCGACGTGCCCGCCCGCCCACGGCCGGACCCTCCCCGCGCCCGCCCGGCCGGGCCGAGGGGTCCGGTCCAAACTGTCGCTGGGGCCTGTCCCCCGCCCCCATCCCCGCCCCCAAGCCCTGCATTGGGTGATAGCAGGGCCGGGCACGGGGACGGGCACCAGGGAAAGCCTGGGAAGGGCAGGGGGCATCCTCTGCAAGGTGAGAGAAGGACTCCTCCCCCACCCCGCCCGGAGGAGACCCCCAGACGCCCGTCCAGCGCTCCTCACCCCCTGCCCAGCTTTGCCCCGCAGCAGGCAGCGGGGTGAGCCGAGTGGCAGCCGTGGGGAGGGGAAGCTCTGTCCCTGCCCGCAGAGGGCATTTCGTCTCCGTGTCCGGCCAGGGGGGCGTCTGTCCTGTGTGGGTACCACCTTGCTCCTTTCTGCCTTGGAGTGGTCATTTCTTTACTCTTGGATGATGCCACCCTCCTCCCGCCACCACCCAGGTCTCCCTGGCCCCCTGGCTCAGCTCTGAGCCCTGCTCCTGGGGTGGGGTACCCTGCTGCAGGTGGGCCTGGACGGTAATCCCTGCCCAGAGATTGGGGCACGGCAGACCCCACCTCTGTCGTGCCTTGGCCTTGCTCTCACTGCGGGAGGAAGGTGCCTGCGTTCAGGCCTGAGGGGGCACGTCCAGAGCCGCGCCCTGGTGAACTTTCTGTGATGTCTCTCCTCTGACTATCTCTGGACCACAGTGACCACAAGCCACCTGTCAGGCTCTCGGGTGCTAAAAATGCACCCCGTGCAGTGAAGGAGCAGAAGTCTTCATTTTCTTTCGCTACCTCCAGGTGCCTCATGTTTCCAGGACTGGACAGTTCCAGCTAGAAACCGTTTCTCCTTCTCCGGAGTCTCACTGTTCCCCTCCTTCATGCTAAGGATTCGAGGGCAAAATGATTTCTAGGTCTTCTGGGGCTCCCTCCCCGCTGCCTCATGCTCCGTGGATGAATCTTACAAACTGTGTGAGATCAAGGTGACCACTTTCCTGGCTGTAGAGTGATGTGTCCTCGGAGGATGGTGTTTTCACTCACCCTTCGTTACCGTCTGTGCTATTGATTGACAGTGCTCCAAAAGGCATCCCGAGTCTCTATGTTACTCGTTTATAAGAAGAATAACTGTTTCCTTACGATGAATTCATAGAAGTGAAGGTGAATGGGTTTAAGAAAGGGGACATTTTTAAGGTGTTTGACACAAAAATGCCAAATTGCACGGCCTTTGGGGGCTGCACTTGTCTTGCACATGGAGGACCCGGGTTCAATCCCCCCTGGCATCCCATTTGGTCCCCTGAGCCCCACCAGGAGTGAAGCCAGGAAAGCTCTGAGCATTGTCGGTGTGGCCAAAAATAAGTAAATTGTCCCCCCAGAATTTTCTAGCAGTTTACAGTTCCCCTGAAAGCCTACAAATGTTCCTGTCTTTTCTCGTCCTTTTTGCTAGGCATTATCATTTGTAAATATTTGCCAAATCTGATCTATGTTGTTTATGAGGGCGGTCAGACTTTTTCTCTTATATTCATCTATTGTTTTGTGTTTCTTCTTTAAATGAAACAAATAGGCATTTACTTGACCCATTTTCCCCTGGAATGTTTACCCTCTCCTTCTTGCATTGAAGCACTTTATTAAGGAAAATTTGGGAGAGTCCAGAACAATAGTCCAGTGGGACGGGTGCTTGCCTCGCACAGGGTTGGCTGGGGTTAATCTGGCACCATGTCTGTTCCCCCAAGCCCCAGCAGGAGTGATCCTTGCGCACAGAGCCAGGAGTAAGCCCCAAGCCCCCCACCCTGAAAGTTAAATTTGAGTCAGCTATTTCACTGTCACTGTCACTGTCCTCCCGTTGTTCATCGATTTGCTCGAGTGGGCCCAGTAACGTCTCCATTGTGACACTTGTTACTGTGTTTGGCATATCGAATGGGTAGCTTGCCAGGCTTTGCCATGCAGGCGAGATACTCTTGGTAGCTTGCCGGGCTCTCCGAGAGGGGCGGAGGAATCGAACTCGGGTTGGCCATGTTGGCCGCTTGCAAGGCAAACACCCTACCTGCTGTGCTATCACTCTAGCCCAAGTCAACTATTTAGACAAAAAAAAAAAAATTTGCCTTTATACTCTGGTATTTCTTGTTCTAGTTTTTACATAATTTTTTAAAATTAGTGAAATTCAGTAATTATTCATCTGGTTTATTAAGTATAATAAGTTTAGAAAAGGCTTCTTTGACTTAAAACAGATGTTGCCTGTCTAATCTCTCTCCTTGTTCTGGTTGCTTTCCAAAAATGACCCATTTAATCCATTAATCCCAATGATCTCACTTTGAAGTGAGACTGGTAAGTACTGCCCTTAGTGGGCTGACTAAATGGACTCATGGGGCCGAGGGAAGAGCTGACATGGGGGGCCAGGGCCATGGTGCAGTGGGGAGGGCACTTGCCTTGCACGCGGCCGTCCCGGGTTCAATCCCTGGCACCCTGCAGGGTCGTTGGAGCCCTCAGGAGTGATTCCTGTGGCCAGAGCCAGGAGTAGCCTCCGAACACTGACGGATGTGGCCCCCCAAACAAAAACAAACACAAGAGGTGACATGGACTACTGTGACCCATGCTGCTTTTGCTGGAGGGCGGGCCCTGCTCGAGACATTTGTTCCCGAAGGCCTCAGGAGGTGACCAGCAACGAGGATGCAATAAGCTACAGCTTCTGCAGGGCTCCTGGTGGGCTGCTGGGGATGAGGGTTTGCTCTGCCTGCACCCCTAGAGCCCTCTCGTTCATTGTGCCAAACTGAGAAGCCACAGTGCTGGGTGGGGCCTTGGTCTTGCCTCACGCACTCGGAGTCCTCGTTGACCTGGACACTCTCTCTCTTTCTTTCTTTCTTTCTTTCTTTCTTTCTTTCTTTCTTTTTTTGCTTTTTGGGTCGCACGTGGAAAGGCACAGGGGTTATTCCTGGCTCTGCACTCAGGAATTACCCCTGGCAGTGCTCAGGGGACCATATGGGATGCTGGGAATCGAACCTGGGTCAGCCGCATGCAAGGCAAACGCCCTACCTGCTGTGCTATCGCTCCAGCCCCGTGACCTGGGCACTCTTCTCAGAGGGCGTCTGTCTGTGCCAAATTGTCCGTGTCAGCTCTGCACCCTGGCGGGCAGGCTCGGAGAAACAGGGTGGACCCCAGGAGCAGGACCAGGTGCCTTGGCAGGCGCATAGCCCCACGGGAAGCCCAGAGGTTGCCAGGCAGGAGGGTTCGCAACTCCCCTGGCTGTGTTGTTCCCATAGAGGATAAGGAGTTGAGAGGGGCCTGGGCTGCGTTTCTGCCCTCTCTCCCCCCTGGTGCCTGAACTAACCCCTCTGGCAGCCAGACGCCCCTCTCTCGGGATCATGGTGGGCTTTGAATGACTCAAAACGGCACAAAGCATATGAGTCAGCACGGCCTTGGGCTCACACCTTTTCCTTCTCTCCTTCCTTGCTATCACAGAGGCTATAACGGCCTGAATAGCCCCCTTCTCCCTCCCACCCCCAGCGAGGTTGACCAGGAGTCAACCCTGAGCATCGCTGGGTAGTGGCCCCAAGACCAAAAAGTAAAAAGAAAGAAAGAAATGTACCTAATATCTTCTGTGACTGTGGTGATTGATCAAGAAATACAGTGAAGGCACCTGGGTAATCTTAAGTGACCCATCGGGGGCCAGACTCTGTGATTTTGAATGTCATACTCGATGGAACCAAGCCACAAATGGGCCCAGGTGTGAAGTGGTCATGTATCGGTAGGGTGGACCTTGCAAAGCAATTCCTAAAGGTCCAAAAATTGCAGCACTGAAGGGAACATTGGACACTGGTCAGGTCAGCCTCTCGGAGATTGCTCCTCAGGGTGTGTCCTGGACCCGAAGCTCTTGTTAGAAGTGCAGATTCTCTGGGCCGGAGAGATAGTACAGTGGGTAAGGCGGTTACCTAGCACGCAGCCGACCTGAGTTTGATCCCATATGGCCCCCCTGAGCACTGCTAGGAAGAATTCCTGAGTGCAGAGTCAAAACAAACAACCCTGAGCTCAAACGCAAGCCCAGATTTACACAGTCACAGTCCGTGAGAGCGGGCTCTGAAAACCCCTTGAGAACCGGTGCTCTCTGGACTTACTACCGTGACACCGTCATTTGGGGGGGTGGGAGGGCACACCTGTCAGCTCTCAGGGCTCACGCTCGCACCTCACTTGGCATGAGAATGGCCAGGGGACTGTTTCCTGGCCTCCCCCAGGGAGCGACTGACTCACTGGCCAGGGCAGGTCTCCGAGTAGTATTTTTAACAAGCTTGCAGTGAGGCCAGGTACTGGCCCAAGGATGCCCTGTGGAAACGATGGCTCACGAGTAGTGGGAACACGGGGATCTTCACAGCAGCCCTCGCAGCTCCTCCCCCCCCTTCCCCGGCGTGGCTTATTTTGTGAAGGAGTGGGGAGCCGGCAGCTCAGCTCTGGTCTCTCTCCCGGCCCCCAGGCTGAAGCGTCTCCTCTCCTCCGCGCTGGGAAGGGCAGTGCCCGGGGCCCTTGCCAGTGGAAAGTGAA